CGAAATGGGAACAAGTTATCGTGTAATTAAAAGGATTCTCGACTTGGATACGCTTCACAATTTATTTACTTACTTAAGCTAGAAATATAAACGATCGGGGACCTTTATCGAGTCAAAGGCGTTCCGCCAAAGTTGAACGATGTAGGTACAGTCTGCGAGTGGAAAGCGTATCCTAAAAGAAGAAAACAAACAAATATTATTTCAGTGTTACTCATCTAATAAATTAGTATGAAAAATAAAAAAAAAAATATCGAGGTGGATAGTAGCACTGCAAGTCCTGACAAAAATAATGTTAACCCCTTGAACTGAAATGACGAGTCTCTCAAATTATTTTCAGAAATACATTTAATTGAAGTTGTAACACTTCAGTTTTCTTTAAAATAGCCATGTCCACGGGGTTGCGACAAAATTAAACAGCGCAAGCAAGAACTTTTGATTTAAAAAAAATCGTCAGGCAAGGAGGTACGCATAATTCGAGGAACTTACCGCCACTCTGTTCAATTCTTTTACTTTCCAGAGCTGCTTTGCGTTGATCTGCGAGGAGGATAATTTCTTGTAAGGCTTTCTGTTGTTCTGAAGTCAAGTGGTCGGTCAACGCTCTGTACCAAACTGTATCTGATCTCTCAATATCTAGAAGCAAACGTAAATAATATGCGTGTCCGCGTGACATATGTAAATAATGAAATGTACACGGTCAAACTTAATTTCACTTACTTTGCATGACTTCCTTAAAAACAATGTATTCGTCTTGGTTTGTATCCTCCGAATCTAAAGGTGTGACATAACATTCAAGAGGGGTTTCCTCATTGGCATCGTACTCCGAGTCATCGGCGTCGTCATCTGATCCATGATCACCATGGCCATCTTGAATTGACGTCGATACAGTGAAGCCATGTTGCGCGGATGACCTTGTTACCTTTTCTTGTAACTTTTCCAAATATTCTTGACTAGCATCATCAATTTCATCTTCGTCCGACGAGAGTACCTCTATTAAAACGTGATTAAACTGTTATAGCGGAATGGACTCCACTTAAGATGAATTAAATTATATTGGTTTAACTTAGTTCAATTCGACGTTTTAATTGTTTCGATAGACTTCCTAAACAACTCTGCCGTAGCTACGGAGTTAATCGGAGAAAATAAGAATTACCTTCGTCGAGATCACTGTCGTCATCATCGTTTTCCTCGTCGTCCGTATCAGAGACTTTAGCTGCGTAAGCTCTCTTTAAACCATCGAAAAGTAGGATTAAAGACGGTATAATTTGTTGAGCGCATTCGTTCACTGCTGCTGGTCTTGTTGGGCCCATACTGATTAAAGTACACAGCCCAAGAACACAGAGTTTTCTGTCATGTAATCTGGACACATATGCAAATGATGATATAAATATTTTTGATTAGCGACATTCTTAGAATGAAAACTATGACACGCTTACCCTAAGAAACAATCAGTATCGTGTATCCATTGTTTGATAAAGTGAGATGCAATCGGCTCGGTCGACTGGCCGAAGTTCCCTTGCAATCTCTCCATTGTTTCGAGACATAGCGCTGGATTATAATAAAGGGCTGCAATCACCACTTGCAAACACATTGTCCTTAATTCTGAGGTTTTCACTTCGCGCATCAAACGCTCCAATACCAATTGCACAAGGGAAGGTATACACTGAAACAATTATTCTCGATGTGCAACATTGAAAATCAATAGACTCGTCGATATAAAAACTTCGAAGAGATTCTACCTGATCGATGTGTCCTTTGCACTGAAGGATTATAACTTCTAACAATTTGGCAGCGTAACATTCTGGATCTTCGCCAGCATCGCCAGTTAACACCTAGAGAGTGAAAATTCAATATTACTTATAATATTTGAATGTTGTTTCGTTCAGAAACGCGAATTGGTTTACAACGTACAGCTTTGCACATATTAAACATAGCCAATACATGGTTCTCGTTGGAGAGAAATGCTGGCGTGTCGACTGTAATGTAATTATGTAGGGCGGGCATCATATCGATGAAGTATTCAAACGCGTCCTTTTGGAACAACTGGTACATCCATTCTAAGACTTTCCACATGTCGCTAGAAATCGTCTGGCAAGTTAGGTCATAAACTAGCGAAAGTGCTTCTTCATAGAAGTCTGCGAAGTTGAAGAAGATAAAACAATTAAATACATTTAATTGCAACTGGATTGATATCGTTAGTTTACTATTAAGATATTAATGTACCATCAGATCACAACTTACCCATGACACTCTCTCCAAAAATATGCGCAACAACTTGAAGGACTATGGGTTGCAACTCTGCCATAATTTGTGGGTCGGTTATCATTGCACCTAATAAAGTTTCTATGGTATTTAACAATCCCATGGCAGTTATAGCTTTCTCATCGCTGCCTTCATCTGTTTCGAGCACCTGACTAAATGTCGCGGTCTAAAACGGCGGAAAATTATTTCTAACATTTTAATCTATTTCCGTCGAAGTAATTAAAACACATTATACTCACTAAGTGCTGGCACATTTGTACAGCGATTGGCATAAGTTGGTCTGAATACGTAGAAACAATTTTCTGAATAACGTTCGTTAAATCATCGTTTTCTGTCTCTCGTACAATATTTAATAATTCAAGCGTTATTGGTTTGATTAAGGGTTCTATGTACTTTTGTGCTTTGTTCTGAGCAGAGAGCAGCATTTGTAAAGCGATAGCAGCTTCCACCTTGACGGGTAGATCTTGGTCGGTTAAAAGAGCATTCGTCGTCAGACGGATAGCTTCAATTAATATCTGCTCTTGCTTGAACTTTATTTCAGAGAAGTAGTGTAATACCCAACATGCCTAAATGAATCCAGGTAGAATTAAATAACATCAGAAAAAGAATTTTAAAGCATACCAAGCAACATAATTACTCCATGAATAGTATAAGGATTAATTTATTAAAGAACGTCACTTACTCTCGCTCTCATATGCCCGTGACGACTATTGAATTCAGGAAATACGTATTGTAACAACATTTTATCCATTTGTTCCTTGTAAACCTTCTTCTTTAACAACACATCTGCTAAACTTCCAACCTATAAAAAGATTTTAATTTTTGACAAATTTATAATGATATTATGATTTCTTTAAATCGAATGGACGTACCATGTGCAATGCACCGTCCTTTTGCCAGGGATCTGCATTTGGACTAGTTAAGACTTCCATGCAGAATCGCATAGTTTCTTGAAGCATACCCTTACGCATTTTACAAGCTGAGCGCAGCAAAGTTTGTGCTGCAGTTACTGGAGATACAAAATCTTGGAAGATATCTAAACACAATAATAAATTTCCCCATTTTTTTTTACAAACAGTAAAAGAAATTTCAAGGAAAACATAGAATCATTTGATTATATTCTTACCGAATTTAACTCTAATATATTCGTATGGATTATTATTCCATAGCTCCTCGTCTGAAGCAGAATATGAAAGGATTGGGAAGAGTACATCGCGAATAATCTCAAACATGTGTGGCTTTAAGAACTTCCACGAGTACGCGTGACTCACACTGAAAATTGAAGTACAGATATTTTAAATTGCATAAATCTGAAAATACTTTCGTACGACACAGATGACAATGTTGATCGATTTTAGATGTTTCAGACTCCGACACTTACCCCTGATTAATGTAGTTAATCGATTGTTGAATTACTCTCGGTGATACATATATATTTCTTCGATATTGGTCCAAAATCTTCAAAAGAACTTCGAGTATACCCCCACTGAATGTTCTCAGGTACCACTCAGAAAACTCTTTGTATTCTTTGGTTACATGTCTAGGACTACCGTATCTCTCAAACATTTTGTGCAGAATATGAAGTGCCCATTTTTTACATTTCCACCATGGTAGTTCTGCTCGTTCATCGTCATCGAAATCTGGATTGTTTGTTTCGGGCGGCACAGGCCTGTCGGCCACTTGTCGCACCACGTCCATCCATTGTGAGAAAACTTCTTTCGAAATTAAATCCAGGGGAAGTGTATACTGGAAAAACAAATAATGAAACTAAATAGAAACTAAAATCATAACGAGCAAAATAAATTATTAAATTAATTAACGACAAAATGATTGGGAACCGTAATATCGATAAAATATTCAAATAATATCGAACAACAATTATCGAGTCGCATACCTGTGTAAGGGCAAAAAATATTTTCAATATTTGTTTTTGCAACAAAACTGACTGTTCTGAGGAATCTGGCAGAAGCCGTAATATTAATTGGTAAATCATAGGGAACAAAAGATTCATTGCTTCATTCAGAGGCCCTCTTTCTTCTGCCTTCTTATATCTAGAAAAGATTATAATACAAACAATGATATACCTATATTTCTATGTAAATAATACTTAACAAGATACATACTCAAAATTTTTAACAAGTTGATACAATGCTAAAAGAACACCTGGCCAGCAGGAAGCATCAGAATTCTGTAAATATATTGTAATTTTGTCCACTATTTGTGTCCATCTTCCAGGAAAATCGTGTTTTACAATGTTATTGACACAAACTGCCAATTGTACTCTGTATTAATAAGAGATGAAAATATTATTATTAAATTTAAATATATTACGTATTCTGTAATTGTGATTTATTCAAATGAACAGCTATATCGGTTACTTGCCTGATAAGATCTGGCGCATGTACAAGCGCATCAACAATTGCATCACGAATCATAGCTCTGTCTTGTTCGTGAATACTAAATTCCACTGGGCCATTGTCACTTTCTCTGTCAGCCCAATTTTTTGTAATTAAATTTTTCATATATATAACACCTGCATTTAAGTAAAATCATTATTAACCAATTCTTACTTTGAACGTATTAATAATCGTATTTGTTAATTACCAGCTTGCCGTACAGGCATTTCCTCTGCAGTCATTACAACTTGAAGTAGTGTTGGTGCAAAACCAATAATTTTGTGAATCTAAAAGTAATTTCAACATTATAAATTTCCTCAAATCTATATTTGTTCTATATATACTATGGTGAAGTATATTTTGAATGTAATATGGCAATTAATATTGTCTACCTGCACACATAACTCAATAGTATCGTACTAAAATTGACTCCGAATCCATAACTACTCATTATATAAAACACAATTAGGAAAATAAAATTTGTATTATTCTATCAATCAGATTTCTATTAAATTAGAAATAAAACAACAAAACAATTCTAATAAGCAAAAAGTTTTCAGTAATCGAAACATAAACGATTTAATAAATTATGCAAGCTGGAACTGTATAACTATGAAGGGAGAATCAATTTTAATGCCAATAAAATCTTAATAAAATCGGAACGATAAAGATATCTTGGTGTATTAAGAAACGTGATGAAAAAATCAGTTTATACGTGTACAATCAACTGAAAAAAAAAATATTAAATAGAAAAACTAATAATTGAAGTAATCGAATAAAAGTGATGGTGAATTTGGTTAAAGGTCGTTCTCAAGGGGAAGAGGCAATAAAATAACTAAAACGAAGCGTTATCATTGATAGAAGTATGGAATTCGTTTTCATAAATCATATTACTGATTAAACTGTAAATTATGAAAGGGGAACTGAGAACAAAGAGAAAAAAAAGTGATCGTGGGGATGCACATGTTTCTGTCGAAGTGTCGACAAGTTCGAGCACGTTTTTCAATTCAGATTTCTGACCTGATTCAGCTGTTCTTCAGCTTGTTTCTGTTGCGCTGGGTCGATCGTGGCACGTAGCAATTCTGTCACTTTTCGTACATCCATGTTGCAATTATTTTTGTGTTGGCTGGTGATATCCAAAATTTTTCACTGTTCCTCACGAATTCGACCCGGCGCACTCACCTCGCTACTCCCTCGTCACGTGACACAACAATATGGCGGTGGTGAGCCGATCCTGTGTTACATCCGGCCATTGAGGGTACAACGTTTAGAAGGGCAACTAAGATCAGAACACGAGAAACTAGACAATAAAGTCCGTACTCACGAAACCAGTAAATTTATCCCCGAACAGAATCCATAGTGGTGGTATTCGCTAGCTGTCACTTACGGAGCATTGCGAAAAACAACATTCTCATCTGTTACACAATATTTTATGGTACAAATGAATAAGCGTTGAACACACGTGACAAGTTCTGTCAGTAATGAACTCTTCCGAATTTAGAACCTTAAACTTATTCAAATTTTGTTGACATTTACACTTGTAATAATGAAATAAAAGTAATACTAATTCGAACAGTATATTATAGAAGAAATATTTGTCAAACGCATAATAAACAACGCTGCAAAGTGTTCTTTCTCAGTATGTATCTGCGTATGTACTTGTTTAATTATCACTACATAATAAAACTTAAATTTCTTTGTAATCTTTTAAATTTGAATGGAAGTAAAATTTAATTTCGAATTTTATGTTATTTTGTATTGTGCTTCGCGCCACGGAGTATTACGACTTAGATAGGAATGCCGTTTTTCATAACGTCTTTGGCATAGAAGAATGGAATGAGTATAGATGGTAATCTTTCTGTAACTCCGTGAAACCGAGAAGGTTCAGTAACATTTATCTTTATCCTCATTAGTCGAAACTTATCGTCATCCTCGTTTTTGCAGACTTCTCGGATTGCACCATGAGATATTTAGTGGGGATAGAAATGAGACATTAAAGAGGTCGCTAGAGCGCGAAGTTACGGAAAGAATATTATATCACTGTGTTCAGATGTCTATATACACATGCAACAGCTATATTTGTTTATAGGTCATCGGTCGGTCAAAACATTGCGATAGTAATATTGTATGCACTATAGTTGAAACTGCATCGCCTGAATATTTTGTCGTCTCGGCTGTAGAAAATATAAAATTAACGTTACGGTCCGAGCAAATTTTTGGCGAATGAAAGTATTAGGAACCGAACTGTGAAATTACGCGCTACTGACATGTTGCAGTTAATAAATCTTCCCGATATTGTCCTGGAGACGATTTTGTCTAACCTTACATACGACGAAATTTCTAGATACAGAATTGTAAGAATATGTTTCCTATTTCTTATGTGATCGCTTGCTTTGAGTGTACAAGGAATTATTTAATTAGGTTTCCACCAATTCTGTTTTAATAGATATGCAAGCAGTTCGACCGAATATGTAAAAAGTTATTGAACAGGGGTTTCAATTTAATGGAAAAATATCATGCACAATGTTTACGTGCTGTAAAAAGTCAATTACCTCGAAGAGAATCAGAAAGGAGAAGTCATCCTTTGGCACGTCATTGTGACATATTGACAGCAATAGAAACAAGGATATCCATGTTATCTATGACTTTTATTAAATACGTGGACCTTAATCTATGCTGTTTTATACCTGGCAAGGTAGATAAGTTTAATAATCTATAAAAAATAGTGTATACTTTTAATTTTTAACGTATCAATTTATATTAGGTAATCGATGAAATTTTTCGTGTTCTTCGTTTGCTTCGTGACTCTAAAACTCCTCCTAGAGCTCACGAAATACTTCAGGAGTTAAGAGATATTAGTAGTATGGCAATGGAACATTTCGATGAGAAAATCTTACCAGATCTAAAACATAGTATTTGTACATCTGTTGTTAGTAATGTAGGTTCCTATGAACTACCAGGTGGAAGTTTAATGATTTCACATCATACTACTAATCGAACTAATACAACACTGCCGCATAATTTTAACTCGAATCAATTGAATCAGACCTTCAAGAAAATCTATAGTCGTACTAAAAAGAATAAATTATCTGTCCTTTCTATGAAAAGTCAGATAAGTAAAATGAAGCTCAGAATGAAGAGACAAGGTTTCCAAATGCGACTGCAGAGTTTAAAACTAAAAGAACAGGCAAAGAAGATAAACGATCAGGATACACAATTGGCAGAAATGAGAAAACATCTGGAGGAATGGGAACAAAAAATGGTAGATTTAACAACTGGACTGAGTCGTGCAAGAGAAGAAACACAGAAGCCTGATTCAATAGAGACTTGTAAAAGAAAACTTATTGATCCAACAAATGAGTTACAAGCGAAAAGGTGTAAATTAGTAATGGAAAGATTATAGTTGATACTATAAAAACTCGAACTTCTCATCAGCTTGTCCTTTGTACATAAGAAGGTTGTATATGAAAAGCAAGATTATTACTCTAATTGTATTTCGCATTTTTTTATGTTATAACTAAATAAATTTAAGTATTTCAATTTTCTACATATTTAAATGCAACCTACATAGCTATTCTTAAAATATAATTTGAGGATACCCAAAACCATGATAGTAAAAAGAAAAACAGGTAAATTCTAGATTTTACTTTGTTTTCTCTGTGTATTGTTATCATTGTTGAACACGATTACAGTGAATTTATTATGTTTAAAACATATTTGTAGATGTAACTAAACATATAAAGAAGAAAAAAATGATATAATCGTTTTCGTTTTTAAGCGAGCATATTATTAAACGTGAATATGTGAATACATGTAATGAACTGTGGTGTTAAATTATTGTATAAACTTCTAATTGATTTGCTAAGTGTATTTATAGTTATAATAATATGCAATAAATGTAATTGCGTATTATTTTAAACAAACAATTCGAGAATGAATATTCATTAAAAATTTAAACTTAATAAGATCTCAATGGAAATTGATAATGTGTATTTAATTTGCTTCTTATTTATTTTATTTGTAATAATTCTTCCATTTACATAAACATTATTTTACATTAATTAAAATATTGTGTAAGGTTTCCTGTAAAGTTAGCGACAATAAATTATTAGTGATACCTGGTGCATATATTTATACCTATATGTAGTTTCCGGTAATATGATAATTTAAAAATATTCAGCTATATATGTTGTAAAATGTATAATTTTAATGAAATCGAAAACTTTAAAAATATACAATTGAATGTAATTATCAACTTTCAGTTATTATAATTTTAATTCAAGTACCAACCTTTGTATTTAATTACTGTCGTTATTTCAGATTTCACTACCACTTTGCGTAGAATAAAATGATTTACATATTATCAACATTTGATAGATTAATTTCTAAAATTAATTCAACATTTTTTTAGGAAGATGAGTACAGGGATTCTGATTGTACATCTCTAGTAGAAATTGTTGTAGTGGCTTCTGGCTGTAAAAGTCCATATTATATTAACTGTCGCTAATAATAATGTAAATTAATCTATAAAATTAGTGTACATTACCAAATTTTCTTGAACATTTGACACTTCAATTGAATCCGATTTAGTACACATTTCTTTAGACATTTTATGGTTCACTGTATCTAATTTATCATTAAATGAATCTGTACTTTTAATAGGTGGTAAATGTACTATTTCATCGTAAATAGTTGCATGTGCTTGTTGCAAATAACTTTGTTGTTTTATTCTTATGTTCTTTTGTACTGTACTTTTCTCTACTTCAGGTAATACAAAGTTATAAATCATGTTTGCTACCAATTCTTCCTCTGCTATTCTTAACGCACTAAAATACGTAATATCCGAAATCAGTACTATCTAATAGTATTGTTAAAAAAATTAATTTTCTTATGCATTACTTGTCGTGCGCATGAGCTGCTACGTTGTCTACTTTATCGCATATGTTATCAATATATTCTTTAGCTGCTTCGTCAGATACCCATTCAATGCCTTCTCTTATAACATCCTCTAAATAGATTTCCACAGATTCTTGATGAATTTTTATAACTTGTCTAAACATTTCATCAAATTCTCTACGCCGATTATATTCTAGCTGGCGTCTTCCAGCCTCTGCTGCCTCTCTCATGGCTCTTTCTCTTTCAGCTAGTAATGCAAAAGCGTGCATGCGACGTTCGTCTTCCAATCTCAACAACTCCTTCAAAAAGGGAAAGCATAAAATTAAAAAAAATGTATATGAAATTGTTAGAGCAAATATAATTTATCTTAAATTGTACTTCGCTAAGGAAATTTAGCATCGCTGAAAGAGTCATTCCTTCCAAGGAATTAAGAATTTCAGATAAACGGTCTTCTTGTACAGATCTCTCATTTTGAAAGTGCAACATGTCCATCATTTGCTCCTTCTTTTTTTGTCGTCGCTTCTTACTTTCTTCCTCTAGTCCATGAGATGATTGCAATTCTTCGATTAATTGTCTACATCTATTGCGACCTTCGAACATCTGCAAAACAATTATTTAAAGCATAAAAATTTAATTACAATTTTTAAAAATAATTACCATGCACTGAATCGCTCTTCCTCTAATTATTTTTTGAATAAGAGTGGACAATTGATGTAAGTGCATATCGTGTACATCTTCTGTATGCGTCTTATATGGTGTGGGAGGCAAGGATGGTGTTTTATACTTGCGTTTCAATAACATTGGTGCATCTGCGTGTTCTATGTTTAGTCTCATTGCCTTCAAATCATTATACAATTGTTTCAGTTTTTCTTCTGTCCATCTTGTTTCTCTAATACAAAGGTCGAATGGTTTGGGCTTCGGCCTAATTGCCTTTAATTCCTCAAATGTTGGCAGCCAAGCAGGCAATGTGTTCATATTTTCTACATCTAATTCAATAAATATGAGAAAGTAAAATATAAAAGATTATATTATAAATATGTCGATATAAATTTACCTTCAATAGCGCTTTCCTTTAATAATTTTTTATCTATTACAGCATGTCTTCTTTGTGGATGTTCCCCATTACGCATTTGTGGTGCATATATTTCAGATGCTGGATCAGCGTGTTCTATAATAATGTCACATTTAATAGGTCGTGATGTTTGGTAATGTTTTTTATGGAGTTTTCTTAATTCTCTTCTAAGATTATGTCTAATAGAATTTATCTTTTCATCTTTATGTTTGGACAAAACGTTTTTCAATCTATGAAAACGATCTTCTATCTTTTTTTCCTTTTCAGCTTCATGAGATTTTGCTATTTTATCCATCAGTTCGAGTCTATAATCCATTATTGCTTGAATCTCCTAAATAACAAACATTATGTTTACAAGATGTACTCTTAAAATAAACATAGATGCTATTATACTTTTGTAACAAAGTATTTACCGCTTCTCTAAATGCCCATTCATCTACTTCCATTGCTGTTAAAATAGCTGTTCTTAGTTTTATATTTGCAGGTGTATCCATAGGAGGAAGAACCTCTTCCCATTTTTTCTTCATTCTCAATCTATTAATAACTTCTAACTCGTGAACTCCAGGAGGTAATCCTTGATTCCAAGTTAAATGTGCTATTGTCAGTACTTCTGGATCATGTCCTGAAATGTTAACGATTGTATAAGCATATATTGAGACATAAATTATATTCCATATTATTTACCTTTTTTAACTTTATATGGCGGTTCCCAAGGAACAGTTTGCGTATCACTGTCTCTATAATCTGTTTGAGTTCCCACATCTCTATTTGGTTCTGATCTAGGTGAAAATGCATAACATTGTTTCTGTGCATTTCTAACTATGTCGTTCAAAATATCATGATTAAAGCGTTTTGGTATTTCTACATTTTCTGTTCTTGGTGTTAAAAACGGTATGATTGGTCGCCGGAAATATTTATAATTATTAACACACATTATTTCACTTATCTTATTGTTTCCGATCATCGTCCTATAAATATGAAACATTATTTTATATAATTAATTGCTAAAAGTAGTATTTTTGCAAAAAATAAGATTCAACTTACTTTTGATAATTTTTTAAAACTCTAAAATCCAATTTTCACTTCTCCTATTATATTGTTTCAAGTCTTCTGAATAAATTCAGAAGTACCATTTTATATTTCATTCTTTGTTTATTAGTTGTAGTCATTAAACATTAATAACTACAGCTGGTAGTCTCATTTAATTTACAATTCAATATAATGTAATTACTATCTTTTCAGAAGAATGTACTTACTAATTAAGAGCTACAGTATTACACAAATATTGATCAAACACCAACTTCAGAATTGTTAGAATTATTGTACATGGAGAACAGAACCTTATGTCTTATAGTAACAGACATACAAGGTATTAATAAATTTCAATGAAATTATGGTAGTTACAATATATATTTTATATTCTGTAAGTATTTTACATGTAACAATAATCAATAGTTCACTTTCTTTCATTATATATATTTTAAATATTAAACAATTATTTAAATATAAAAATATGAAGCCTGCAAAAATGACATACTAAATAAATTAATATCCCCATAGTAATATTCCAATATTACAGACTGTAATATCCTGCAATGAAAATAATTATCGAATTTTATTAGGCATAAACATTATTTCATTAACATGTTAATATAAAGTTATTTATATACACATATTGTAATTGTTATAATAGTAATACTGATATTTAAATAGTTAAACTCTCGAATAAATAATATTATATGCTTATTATAAAAGATCGTGTGCGTAATTTCTCATTAACAGTGTTTACTAATTAAATTAATTGTAGTCAATTAAAGTATTAATTGATATAAGCACACAGTTATCTATAACTGTGTTTTACGAAGTGTTTTAAAATATCCATTCCCATGTGAACCCAAATATTCGGACCAACTCTGATGTAAAGAAATATTTTTGCAACTTTCATTAGGCATCATATCCTCTGGGCATGTACATTCAAGTTTCATTCTATATATTGTCATTTGTCCGAAAGAAATCTTAAAATTTTCTCGGTCAGTTGCTTCCTGATACATTTTGTAATTAATACCACGTTCGGCTAAGCATTCTTTAATAAAATCATCCTCATGTCTGTAAGGCATGTTCTTTTGCAAAAGCATTTTTTTCCTATTAATACAATCTAAATCCTCTTGAATTAACATTTTAGATATTTCAGAAGATGGTAACCAGAATGTAGAAAATACTAGATCTATGGAAGTTGTCTCTTTTGATTCTGAAATAGAAGGTAACAATATTCCAGTTGGCGGTTGTCTGTGTACATTGTATATTCGGTATAGTTGATTAGTCTCAATATCTGTTTCTCTTTTTATTTTTTCTTGCTGTAATTCCGATTTTAATTTATTTGTCAACTTTGTTAAAACCTTTGAATTCCCGTTGGAAGATTTTTTCTTATTTTGGTTTTTCAGTGATTCTCGTTTAAATACTTTTTCTATAGAAGAATCTTCTTCCGTATTTAGTATAATATTAGGAGAATTTTGAGTATGTGTTTGAACAACTTCCTGAAATATATATTACTATTGTTGTCATTTAAATTAAATTTTTTTTTTTAAAAGAATGTAATAGAATGAAAGAAATATCTTACCATAGAATTCCATTCAGTTGATATATTTGTATTATTTATGCTATCTGCTTCAAAATTTACAGTCCGTTTTCTTAAAATTGAAGTTTCTATATCACTTTTTGCATTAACTTTTGTAAGGAAATTTATATCATACTCATTAGGTTGTTCAAATGTATTTGTTTCATTTATAGTACTCGTTTTATTACTGATATAACTTCTCTCTTCTCGCACTGGATCTACTTGAGAATAGTCAACGGACTGTTCCTCTCCCGCATTAATGTTATTTTCCCTATCATACGAGCCATCATAATCCTTACTTTGTACATTCTTTTGTGTCCAACCATTTTCATTTTTCCAAATATAGTCATTATTAAAATTGTCTCCATTTTCATTCTGGAAATCAGTACCTTCAAATTTTTTATGTAATGCGTATTTAACAAATGTTTTGTCAAGCTCAGAATTCGTGATGTCAGTTTTGCTTTCTTCATTTTGACTTTCATATTTTTTAGGCGATCTTTCTGATACAAATGGCGTTTTCGAATGTAAGTCTGTTTTAAAGTTCAAGTATTCGGAAAAATATAACGATATACCAGGTGGTCCAACAAGTTGACTTAAAGCATATAATTTTGTAGTCAAAGTAGAATTAAATCTTAATTTACAAAAGTCAGCACGAGATTGAAACATATGATTTTCATTTTTTAATGACTGGTATTTTTCTTTGTCTGTTTCATAATTTAAGCATTCAACCGACCAATGTAAAAACCAATCATTTCCAAAACCTTCAACGGTAACGGATAAACCTGACATTTGTTTACTTAGACTGCCTTCTATCGGTTTTTCAAGTAAAGGTTCGCCAGTTTTTCCATCTACAATTGTCGTACTTGTGTAATTATATGTAGGAAAGTCTGACCCTATTTGATGTTTCACCATGAAATCTGGAGTATTATCGTCATTATAATAACCCGGAATAGGAACACTTATTACTTTGGAATTAGGAATTGTATAATTCCAAATGGGTTCAAATGTTAATCCATTATAAACTATAATTGTAGAGTTGGACATAGTAGTAACAATATCTTCAATTCCATCTAAAGTGATGTCCACCAAAATTGGAGGCAAAGGTGTACCTCTCCCTGTATCATGATGTAATTTTCTTAATTTCTACAAAGAAAGATAGGTATTTATCATTATTATTATATGATTGTTACTTATGTAACAGTTACCAAATATTAAATAAATAACTTACCAAGTTACCATATATTAAATTCACCTGAGAAACTATATATAATCCTCCTGATTTCTGTTCCCCAGTGGTCACAAAAACAAAAATACTTTCTCCGTCTGGATGGACCAACTTCTGAGGCGCTAAAAATAATTTCTCTGCGTTTGGAAGAACTGATTTATGTATAATATTTCCGTTTACTCCTGATATCATAAGAATTTCGCTTAATTGAATTTCTTTCGACTGTATAGTATGCGATGCAATGACATCTCCAATTTCATCGCCATCAATATCCGCGATAAATTTAGCATCATAAATATCCGCAAGTTTCCAATCTTCAGAAGATGATAATCTCTCAACTGGTGCTTCCCATATACTAGACCCGTCAAGTCCATTGATCGCGTGAAGAATCCCACCATATCCACATATAATACAATCTTTGATTTTGTCATTTGTTAAATCTAAACCACAATCGACTGAATAAATTGCATGAGCTGTCCAATGTGTCCAAAGTGTATCCCCTGTTTTACCATCCAAAGCTATAACTCCACCAAAACATGGAACTTGTCCATCAAAGTAGGATATGCAAATGTATTCTGGTGTATCCATCACATCCAAATCTGTTTTTTTAAAATAAAAATAATATTGTTACTATGCATTACTATTACCAATAAATATCTATTCAAGAACATTTACCTCACTAATCGAAGTTCAAACAAATCATAATTGCACAAAACTAAAATCTGTAAAACAAAAAATAAATATGAAAAGAAAATAAAGAATGATAAAAATAAATTAAAAGTTATCATATAAGACATCATATAAGAAAAACCTGTATTAAATCCAACAATGATATCCTCTATCCCATCATCATTAACATCACTGCTTCTCAATGGAGCCTCAGAGGTGAGTTTGGGTAATGATTTAGTCCATAAAATATTTGTCGCAAGTGATGTACACGGAACTATAGCTGATTCATTTGATGGTTTTTCAAAATCACGTGACAACCAATTTTTTAAAATTGGCATTGGCACAGGAATTATACTTATAATATATAAACATAGTGTAATTAAGCCTAGTAGTACTATCAAAGCCGTAAGCCCAGAGGAAACAGACATATTACAAGCTCTGTTAGAAAATCTATACGTCTCAAAACCATATGATTTTTTACATTTTCTACGAGGCGCCATTAGAGGTCTTTTAACTATTCCATCATCATCTAATTTTAGGCCACCATTTTTTCCATCTCTGATAAACACTTCATCGTCGATGTCTGTCAAATCTTCTTCATCAAATCCATCTCGTACAGCCAATGCAGGCAAAGTCGGATACACAGCAGACATACTTCTTAATCTGTAGCATTTTTACAATTGTCAATTAAATCAGTTCTTTAAATACTCAAAATTAAAATAATATCCCACCAATTAACTCAAAATTTTAGTATAAAATAATTCAATATAAAAATATGAAGCATATGATATTACAAACTTTTCTACGCAACATTAAATTATTCTTAAAATATATCATATTACTATATTACAACAAACATTAAAAATATATGGTAAAAAAGGATCATACGCGTAAAATTAAATTACCAATTATGTTTACTGTTTATTTACGTACTTTCAGCAAGTGTTCATTGATCTTTGGTTATAAACAACAAAGAATGGTCTGTTACTAGTACTTAGGTACGTAAGTACCGGTACCTACATTAAACGAATCAAGTGTTGCAAACCGCAAGGCAACATTTTAAAAGCAAACCTATAGTGAGAAATTACAGTTGATTTTGTCTGAGTTCACACGATACAGGTAGATAGTAGAACTTCAACGTGAAATAACGTCGTTTCCTTTAAATGTGGAGGATGAAGCAAGCTTCCTTCGACTGCGATGGAAATGAACCCTTCCGTGCAACAGTGCTGTATTCCACTAGTGCCGCTAGGGTATTAATATTTTAAGGCGTTTCTCGATATTTATAAAAGAGACATTGCATACCCAGATTGGCAACTATTGTTGACTGGCTTACGCTTCTTCCAGCGACCGGTAGCGTGTTGGATACCGGTGAATATTAGTTAAAAACAAAATGTTGCTCTCTAAATTAAGGTTTACTCTCCACGTTGCGATTTATTCCTTATATTTGAGTCTCGTGTGTGCGAATTCTCAGGCATCATGGAAAAACAATTTCGCAGAACAACTTACCGAAGAGAATTGGGATCGTATGCTGATCGGGGAATGGATGGTGGAATTGTGAGTCGAATTGTATCTATGTCGTCAAATTTGATGGCGTGTCAAAAATTCTATTAAGAAAAATTAAACAGGTTTCCAATCATTTCTTTGATACTGCACAAATTATCAAATGAAATTGAATCCTATGAGATGAATGTAATTTAGTCGCGCCTGAAACGAAATTAATATTGAAAGAAAAGGCTGTGACTCATTTAAAATTAAGATGTTGAGAATTTCAGAATTGAATCTAAATAATTTTATTTATGGATTATGATTTGAATATGTTTGAATTTAGCTATGCACCGTGGTGTCCTGCCTGCAAAGCACTTGAGCCTGTCTGGGATCACCTTGCTTCACAAAAGAAAAGTTTGAACATCAATGTTGGGAAAGTAGATGTTACTGATTCTCCAGGTCTCAGCGGAAGGTTTATGGTAACTGCTTTACCAACGATATACCAGTGAGCATTTCTTATTCTTTCTTTATAAAATTAAAATTTATTTTAGAATGTGATATTTCAAGACAAAAGAATAATAAATTAATAAATAATTGAAATATCTTTTTTTAGCGTTAAGGATGGTATATTTAGGCAATACAAGAGTCCCAGGGACAAAGATTCGTTAATTGAATTTGTATCTGAAAAAACTTGGGAAAAAATAGAGCCAATTCATGGTTGGAAAAGTCCAACTTCCATACAGATGTCTGTCATTAGTCAATTCTTTAAAATGGCACAAGTATTGAGGGTAAATAGTTATGACATAATTTTTAAGAAGGTCATTAATATATTTCTTATAATAATTGACAAATTGTGACTTTCTAAGTTTATCAAGTTATTGGATAAGCACAATTCTTAAGTCTATCAAACTTGTAATAAGTGGACTTTAATAGGAAATTATGTAGAGTATAAATCACTTATTCCTCTGAATTTATTATTTTGCTATTTATCCATCTAAATAGTAAATTATAAAATACTAAATGTATTTTTTTCAGAGAGTACATAATAAACTAATGGAAGATTTTGGACTGCCTACATGGGGAAGTTATCTAATCTTTTCAGTTGCAACTATTGTTTTAGGTGCTATATTAGGATTGGTAAGTTTTTCATAATCCCAGAAATAAGAATAAAAATGAAAACTATGTTCTATGGTATTCAGGTTATTGTTTGCCTGATTGATTTAATATATCCACCGAAACCTGTGGCACTTCAAAGCAAAAAGAAACAGAAAGATGGTTCAGGTGGGTTTATGCAGGAAAAAACTACACAAGATGAAGAAATTGTTGAAAATGTGAAAGACGACTTGGTCGATGAAGAATCCGAAGGAGAAGGATCAGACGTTGAAGAAAAAGAGAAGGATACAGAAAAAGATTCAAAGACTGAGCCAAGTAGTCCAAACGTTCGCAAACGTAAGCCACGCAAAGCTGATTAGACATACTATTCGATTGTATGTAAATATTCGACATCGGAGATGGAAAGGCAAATTGATATTTAGCAGTCTGTAATGTCAATTCATTTTGATAAATGAAAATACTGGCATGATGTTATACGGTGACTTAATAACAATTATTGAAAAGGAATTGTAAGATTTCATGCAAAGAGATGGAAATACTAGTTTCTATTGACAACTCATAGTTATTTAAAGTATGAGCTATTTTCAGACAGGGAATTTTAATTTCATCTAGGCCAGAAGATTTTGAAATGTGAAAATTATTGTACCTCAGGTATTACTTTTTAGAGTGTTAGAACAAAAGTTATATTAATGAGTAGACACGAAATATTCTACTTCAAAGTTTTTGTCTCCTCGGTTGACAATTGCTTCCAAATATAAATGAATATTCGGCACTGCTGTTGAAAAAAATATAAAAGTGTTTTATTAACGTGTTCATGTAATCTTCATTAATTTACCAGTTACGGTAAAAAAAAACAGTTATTTTACTTTGTTTCTTAATTATTTATCGTAACAAATTACTACGCAAATTAACAATATGAATGTTTAACATTGTAGTTGACTATAAATAACTAATATATTTTCCTGTACAAACTGTTTATTTATAATCTTTACACACAATATTGCAAAGTGAATGAACGACTATGTATTATTTATATACGCATACACATTTTTTTACATAGTGGTATGAAGTATTTCCTTCAAGATTATAAGAAAAGATAATTATACATTTATTAGATAAGCGCACCAGCTTTAAAATTTCTTACTTGAATGTGTTTACATATGCATTTTCTGTTTCAATAGAATTGTAAAATTTTGTACGTGACGTTTAATACACTGACAAGTAAAATTAATTGAACTGAATTGAATTGTTTCTAGCATTATGTTAAACAAGAAAAATGTCTACAGTATAATAATAAATTTTTAATATATATATATATATTGCGTGACTGAATTTCTAGTAAATATAGTTTTAAAGTTACTTCTTACCATACATTTTAGTACAGGGAAGAAGATATTATTAATCGCTAAACGCTGGAGTTCGCGACAGAAGATGGATGTCTGACTCGTGATAAAATTTTTGTTAAATTTTTTTCAAAATTAAATGCTACTATTATTAATTCGCAAATAGAGTATTAATAGAAACAAAAGGAGCTCGAATAGTTATCAATTTATAAGTTCGATAGTGTGTTGTTTATTACATGAGTTTCAGCGATTGACGGTTAATATAATAAAAATGTTCGTATATGTAAATAAATTGTATTAAGTATACTTAATCTATAGTATGAAACTTTTATAGCGCTTATATTCGATATAAGAAAAATTTTTAGGTAAATGTATCATGGTATATACAATTTCAAATTAAATATATATGTTTACAAATGAGTAATTGTTGACATAGACTGCATTTACAATATTTAGTAGTATTTTATATACAACACAACATAACTACTCAGAAAGTTATAAAATGTCTTCCGTACATATTACTATTTCAATATAAAAACCCTTTTACAATTGTTAATCATGTAATGCACTACATTTCCTTTATTATATTTAATTTCGATTTAAATGATTATTGGTACTCTATAATTAATTTCAACATTCCTGGAAGAATAAGATATATTTTTACAAAAAGGTTACATTTAATTATATAAAAATTAACTAATTTAACTAAGATATTGATATTGTAAACCTGACTGCCTAATAAACGTATTAAGTAATATAAGTTTTGTTCATAATAGTTCATACCTATTAAAATCTTGTATTCAAATGGCGTCGTATCTAGTACTACCGATACAGTTTTATTTAAGATACAAATTAAAGTATTAATTATAATGATTATTTCGTTAGTATAAGGTTTCAAGATATTTTTATTTTATTCAAACAATTCAATAATTTGTAAATAATTAACGGTTGAATTTTTCTGTTAAAATTAATCGAAATTTCTGTAACGGAAATGACGTGCACGTCGAAAAATATTCAGTTAGTAAGTTTTAAATATAAAGTAAGAAAAATGTATGACTGTTAGTTAAATATTTTGTTTATTAATAAAGTAAAGTGTTTATTTAATGTTTTTCTGGTTTAAAATATATGTAATCTGAAAGATAAATATTAAAAGATATTGAAAACTAATTACAAGGTTAGTGCACATGCGCGAGTAGGAAAATCGGATCTGTAGCCTCACGCAGGAGCACGAGGAACGCGTGTTGAACTTAACCTGGAACTCTCGACATCCGACCACGTTTAAACGAGGGTACTGAATTCTCTTTACGAAACTAAGGAAGTAGACATTCATTCTCTATTTAAACTGGTTTTTACTGAGAAATAAGTAGCCGTTAAAATAATAATCAGGTAAGTTACACCGAATTTAATATAAATTAATTTAAAAATCGAAATAATCGGCTTACTGTAACGCTCACTTTTTTCTGATACGCTTGCCCGTTAAAGTTTTTTTATTGTGTTGGTTTGTATTATCAAAACTCTTAACAGAAAGTTTAGTGTAATGTTTTTATTGAGCAATGCGTTATTTAAAAGACGATTTTTTAAGAAAATCGTGTTTAACATGAATTCGAGTAAAAACGTGGTACTCGATTTAGTATGACCGAAAGTTGTTTAAGCGCCTTAGAAGCTGCGCACTGAAAGAATAACGTTAGTAGATTATTAATTTTTTTGTGCAGATCGACTTTTCAGCGGGTTACGGTTCATAATTTACAAAAATTAGCCATGGTTAAAAATACGAAGAAGCGTTTATCAAGCGTGAGTGAGGCAGCTGTAAAGACTAAAGATGAGACTGTTTTAAAAAAGAAGAAGTCAGAAAATGGAGCTGTGCAAAATGGACAAGCAAACAAAGAAGTCAAGAAAGAAACACAGAAAGTAAAACCCGATAAAGCTGAGAAAATAGCAGCAAGGAAAGCTTACCGTGAAAAGCGCAAGGCCTTTAGACTAGACAAAAAACAGCATGGAATAAAACTCGATATATCCGCGGAAGATATTAAGAAAAAAGTCGAAGCAATAGAGAAACGTGGAAACCTCACGAAAACTGCTAAGAGGAAATTAGCCTCGTTAAAAAAATTATTACGAGTAAAAGAAGGTACAGACAAGCCTAAGCAACAAGTTGCAAAGAAACCAGTAGAGAAAGGAAAGAACGAGAAAAAAGTAGAAGCTGGAAATAAGAAACAAGTCCAAACTAACGCAGAACAGAAGAAGAAAGTTCCAGAAAAAGCAGAAACTAAACCAGCCAAGAACAATAAAAAGAAAAACGTTAAACAAGGCAGACTGCTTCTTGTGAAGCAAGGGGAATCCGACGATGAAGACGAAGATGAGGAAGAAAAGGACATTGAACTCGATGATGATGCTAGCGAAGATGATGAAGATGTAGACGACGAAGAGGAGGACCTTGATGATGAAGAGGATGAGGATGATGACGACGATGACGAAGAGGAAGAAGAAGAGGAAGACGATGACGATGACGATGAAGAGGAAGAAGAGGAAGAAGGCAAAGCAAAGGGTGCTCCGGGTGCACAAGCAAAGGAAGCATCCAAACAGAGTCCAGAACAAGAAGGAAAGAAGAAAAGATATGTTCTTTTTGTAGGAAATTTACCGTTCAGGTATAAATATTTAATGTCAATTATTTCAAGTTAAACATATTTCAAATATTATCTATAACATGTATTTATGTTTCAGTGTTACTCAAGAGGAAATTAAGAAGCACTTTTTGACTAAGGTCAGCCAAATAGTCGACATCAGGATACCCAAGAAGGATGACAATTCGTCAAGAGGTTTCGCATACGTAGAATTAGCTAACCACACGGACTACGAGAAAGCAATAGCTTTGAATAACTCGTTCGTTAACGGCCGAAGAATAAAGGTGCAATATTCCGGAAGTAACAAGAAGGAAACTGTTGCGAAAAATCAAAAACTGCAAGCTCTTCAGAAGGCAGGAAAATTGGCCGGTGGACAGAAGAGAAATTTCCAGAAAAAGAATACCGGATTCAAAGGGCAGAAGATGAAAACATAATCATTTAGCGGATAGGACACATTTCACATGAAATTTTTAACAATATCTTTCCTGCTACTTGATCCCGACATCTAGTATTAAGTTCTTTTTTATTGTATACAAATTATTGTAAAGATTTATTTACGATTGACACAGATAAAACGATTATGTATACATAGCTGTATAATTCAATGACATTTTGACTCGATTCCAATTAACTGTGTGCACATTTATAAAGAAAATATAACTTGTGTATGTACACATCATAATCTTCTGTAGTTTTCATTGACATTTCTCGTAAGGTTAAAAATATAGATTGTTACTGTGACAAGATCACAACACGATAAGGTTAACTAAAACTCGATGTATTATAAAAAATGTCTAAATTGGAAACCGTGCGTACAAAGAAACAAAATGAAACGAGCTACTCTTTAGACTTCGAGGCAACAGTTCCATGGACGGACGAGTTTACAGAAGTAGAAAATGAATAACAATACGTGTTATTCCTGCGTAAACCTCAAAAATAAATGTAGAAATTTCACGTGTCCTAGGAAAAGTTGCCCGATAACATTATCTTCCCGAAGGAATTGAATCTGTTCTTACGGAATCGGATTCAGGTAAAATCACTTACAAATTTATCATCTATACCAAGGAAAAACATCAATTTTTTAAACTCTACTCGAAGAATATTAATATACATATACATATATATATTATAAGACTTTCTTTAATTGTTCAAATAATTTATTAAAAAGAAGAATTATGAATTTTCTAATGCTTGTCTTGTACGATAAGTAACAGATCTTTTTTTTAAACGAATAAAGAATACATTTACCGCGTTCCTTTTTATAATTGAGCGCTACTAAAGTTGAAAATGATCTCAATACGTTAGGACTTGACTGCCGAAAATGGTTGTTTGCGTCGAGCGTTGGATGAGTCGGAGGAGAAGCTTCAAAGGAAGCAATCGGAAGCAACGGTACCGGCGCCGATTTTCGGGAAACCGAGCGAGTTGGCTGCCGCGAAGATAATCGAGCTCAGCAAGCGGTGCAGGGAACAAACGGCCGAAATCGAAGTTTTGAAATCGAAATGCAAAACCCTCGAGATTCATTTGGACAATAAGGAGGCCGAGCTGGAGAACGAAAGGAGTGACCGGAAACGTTCGAAGACCAACGCTTCGCAAGAGAGTGAGTTCGTATTAAACATTCTCGCATCTTAGAGTCGATTCATAAGAGAGAGAGAATCGTGTAGCATAATTTACTGCATCCTTTGGAATGCCATGATCGAGATCCAGGATAGTATTGACAAAGGTACGGAGAACACTCGAGCGAAGGAGGACGAGGATCAGACGAGGCAGCTGAACGAGAGGCTGCAGCAAACGCAAACGAAACTGTACGAGTCGAGGAACACTTGCGCCAGTTTGAAACAAGAGATTAACAAACTGCACAAGGTACATACTCGAGTGAATTAACCCTTTGCACTCGAGAGGCGACTCTCGGTCGCCACTTGATTTGAAACAGTAAAACTATAGAACGTGATATTTAATGTTAAACTTTGTATAATGCCTCGATACGTGAAACATTGGAATAAAACAGCTTTGTTCCTCAATCTACTGGTGATCTCTTCGAATTAGTCTCAAAGATCGTCTTCGCCTCGTAAAGAAATGTTGAATACTTCTAGTAAGAAACTTCGGAGTGCAAAGGGTTAAACGCGAGAAAATAACAGAAATAACTTGAATCTCCTGAAAAATATAGTTGCTGTGCAGCGAAGTGGGCGAGACGGTGAACGCAACGAATTTACTGAATCAATCGGGCGGATGGCGAGGGCGGGCCGAGCAGATTCACCTGTTGCAGCAGAAAGTAACGGAGTTGCAGTCCAGATTGTCGGATTACGAAGGGACTCAGCGGACGTCCATCGGTACTGAATATATTCAGGCGAATTTACATTTCCTTATGTTAATTTACATGAACGGAATCGGAGAAAATTCCATGAAAAATCTTAGAATGCATTGCAAACGCGTAAACATCCTTACGCATTATTGAAAGCTGCCGTTACGTGTTCCAATAATCCAACTTAAACTTAACAATCGCGTTGTCGTATATTATTAGTATCCTTGGACCGGAAGAGCCTGGCGAGTCTCCGGAACGCTGAGAAAGAGCGGCGTCAGCAGGCTGAGAACTCCGCGAAGCAGCTTCGCCAGTCGGAAATCGCGATCGAGGGTTACAAGAGGAAGCTGGAGGCTTCGAAGGCGAGGATAAGGGTGCTGGAGAACGAGTTGGCTGCGGCGAAAGGGAGCATCGCGGTGTTAAATGAGAAGAGATCTCACGATGACCAGCTGATCGAGACTCTGGGCGTGAGTAGACATTGGACCGGTGTTTTCACGGCTTGGATGTGGTCAAAGTTATCTGAGACTTTCCTCGGACAAAGGTCTTGTCCTGTAGATTTAGCCGAATGTTCCGCCATCGTTGCAGCTACCTTCATCAAAGTCCAGCTGCAACGATGAAACGTTGGGGCATTCTGCAGGACGAAGCAATCGTGGAAAACGTGAGAAAGTCTCGAGCAACTTTGACCCCAGAGTGATTTCGCCGTCCCAAAATCTATCGTCCGGGAAACCCTCAGAGTCGACTGAAGACGATGGAAACGAGGCACCAGGAAAGGGAGACGGACGCGAAGAGCAGAGAGGAGAGGATCGAGCGCGAGTGCATGAACCTGAAGAACGATCTGCAGTCCGCGCAGCTTCAGATCGAGCGGCTGAGGAGGAAGCTGGAGGAACGGGAGATCGAGATCGACAAACTCAGGTCTGCCACGGTGTTTAGCACCGAAGGTTCGACTTCTCGATCGGACATTGATTTTAGAGACGGAATCGTTCCTAGCGCTGGATCCAAAGCTCAGAAGACCGTCCAGCCGAAGGTCTACCTAAATAGCTCGAGTCACAGCCCCCCGCAGAGCTTCAGAAGTTCGGGCGACCCGAACGAGTACGTAACAGTCGCCCTCGCGGCTGAAGCTGAGAGAGAAAGATTGCTGGAGCTGGCCGCCGTGTTAAACAGGCGACTGGACAAAGAAAGAACCGACGCTGACATTCTGTCCGTAAGGATCAGAGCTTAACCCTTTGCACTCCGAAGTTTTTCGCTAGAAATATTTCAACATTTTCTGATGAGATGAAGACGATACTTTGTAGAACCAATTCGACGAGAAATTCATGCGAATTGGCGGAATATCAAACTTCATAGCTTCACTGTAGGAAATCAAGTGGTGACTGAGAGTCACCTCCCGAGTGCAAAGGGTTAATATGCGAACCACGAGAAGATGAGATAGAACAGTACCCGTGAAACTAGTTTCATACTTTCAGAACTCTTTGCGCGACGAAAGACACAAGTCGGCGAGGTTGGAGCTGAAGCTGCGAAAATTGGAGACCGAAAGGGCCGGGCTGGTGAGGATCGACACGGGGTACAGGTCGAGGCTCTTGTCCAGGTCGTTGAAAGCCAACGACGAGTTCATCAACACGGAAGAAACGCGGCTCAAGTAAGACTCTCGACGAGAATCATGTTCAATCGAGTATATCGTACTCCGATCGTGTCCGTTATCCTCGATATTTCGGCTAGAATGGAGTTGCTTCAGGAAGAGTGTCTCGCCCTGAAGGCGAGGCTGGACACGGTGCAGCAAGACAGGGCGTCGGACCTCGTCAAGTACAAACAGATGCTCGACGAAGTTAGGAAAATCTTTCAAAACGCGTGGAGGTAATAGCGAGCGATAACGACCAACGAGGAATTAAGTACACCTTGAAAATGCTCCGTTTCAGAGGGAAACCGCCTCCTACCGTTGGCAGTCGTTCCACGATCACGGTGTAAATGCTAAATCGAGAGTCACTTCGAATCCACGCCGGAATCAAGCTTTACCGATAATTCACCGTTTTCCTTTAAGGAACATAAACCAACGCATCGCGTCGTCTTCGCCGAGCGAAAATTACGGCGAATTAATCGGCGACGCGTTTAGCAGAAGTCGAAACGTTCAGGAGTCCGTGTACCGCGCAGCTCGCGAAATAAATAAGTGTTAATCTACCGGCAAGCAACTCGTTGCCAGTCGTTGCTTATTGTTCCTTCCGATTGGAATTGTGTAAGAACTACAAAAGCGAGCAACGGTGATGTAAATGGGACACAAGATAAGGTGCAACACTCCACGCAAACGCGCGTGACATCGTCGAACCGACGGCGTCTCGTTTCTGTCTCTCGTTATTCCGCCTCCTTCTCCGATCCACGTAGGTAACTACGCGGTGTTTACCCTGAACCACCGCGTTTGCTCTTGCTATTGATATCGTCCGCCAGTCCTACGCCCATAAATTCATCCTGTTCACCAAGATTCCGAGAAGCCGAGCACAACGTTCCCCGTTCATCATCGGAAAAATCGCCGGCACTTTTCGCGGGAGGCGATCGCGATCGGCAACGTTCGATCCCCTCGGCTCTGGAATTTTAATAAAACTCTTAGAGGCCGGAACGGTGTGTAGATTATTACTTAATAAAAGCGTTGCACACGCTCGCTTTCTCTAGAATCAGAGACAAATATCGCTACACACGAGTACCTTCAACGACCGAGTCGAAATCGATGTTTCCGACCACCGAGGAGGTTCAAACAGAAATAGAAACAACACGGTCGTCTGCAGATCAATTTCCGAACAGACCTAGCGTCCAAGTGTCGAAATCCGTTTCGTGTCATCTATCAGTTTATCATTCCATACACACGAATTGTTCTATTACCGTGGTTCACGGGAAGCACTGAAATTCGGATCTGCAACAGCGCAATGACCAAAGGAACGAAAGGCGAGATAAGAATGTCCGACGGAAGCGACCGCGTTGCCATTGTTTCCAACGCAAGTTCGAAAAGAGCTGGAACGGAGTCCAGCAGACGTGTTCGGTTCGGCTACCGTGAAAGCTTCTTTCATAGAAAAAGAAACGGAAAAGAATTCGACCAGGGCGTTCCCATTGGCGCTAAGCTCCGGCACACAGGTGCGAGCTTACAGGTGTTGGTGCTCCTGCCTGATAAGAAGCATACCCGTGACGTCAGATCGGCGCAGGTAGAGTATATGAGACGGCCCGGAGAGGCATCCACGTCACTCGTTCTTGAACCTCCTCCGTTCGTTTGTTCTGCAAAGTTGTTCGCCGGTTTTTTAACTAGTTCTCTTGCTCGTTTTCTCCCCTTTGGCACGGGTCGCCGTCGCGTTTCCGCTCTGTCCCGTTCGGGTTCGCCTGGCCGCGACGTGGACGTGCCCTCCGGGACGAGTTCTCCGGCCGGAATACACGTACGTCCGGAAGTCCATCGCGAGCGGGCGTGTTTTGGTACCGGGAAACGACGAGCAGGTAAGTCGCAAACGACCGGGATTCCCGGTTTCGTTCCTCGCTGCGCGAAACCGTCGTCTCCGCGAACCGCTCTGACGGCCAGCCGAGGTAAAACGGAATATCGGAGAAGAGGGAAAACGGGAAACATTCCTTTTCCGACGATGCCGCGCGATTCAGCGGTGTTCTTCCCGCCTGGTACGCCGCTAGTTGGGATTCTTCGTGTCGTAGCCTTTTCATGTGTAAATTCAAGGAGTACAACTGCTCGCGGAGGACACATAGCGACGGCTTCGCGCCTGGGACGACGATTATGTAACGTACGGGCATGGGCAATGAAACTTTTACGGCGACCGCGATAACAATATTGAATATTCAGCCGCTGATGATAGTCCTACGGTTCTAATCTCGGAGTTTCTTTTTTCCTATGTCAGTAGAGATCCTGTTTGCCGTGGTATTTCGGTTGCCGTTCGCAAACGTTGATAGCCGAAGCTCGGGTATCAGGGTTCGAGGTCTCTTTTGAAATTTCCTTCGAGCGGCTCGCACCGATGGAATAGTCTGATTTCGCAAATAGAGTTCTCCGCGTTGTTTGGACAGCAGGGTATAACAAGCTTTCCGGTTCTTCTTGTTTGAGATCGTTCTACCGATGGCAACGATCCGTGTCTCGCCTGTGGATTACAGATCAAATTCGGCTTCGAACGGTACGCATAGAATTTTTCTCGGCTCCTTGTCGCCGTCAATTAACGTGCGCCGAGATAAGAATAGAGCATGACTATAGAATTTCCAACGGTTTCGCCTTGTCAATTGCGTGAGGGTAATTAATAACCATGTCAAAGACACGTCAACACTGATAATAAAATTGTTCCGATCGCCGTGATAATCGAACGTGCAGCTTGTTTTCGGGTGTAACACTGTACGATTGTTCTCCTTTGTTCTCGTTGAAGCCGCGGAAGCGTACACCGGTTACTGACTTCGGAACATCGAAGTCGACTCGAGAAGGAACACGAAAAGAAACGAAGTTGTTCATTCTGTCATTTATCTTCGTTCTTTATCTGAAAGAGTATCGCCGTAATCTTTCTTCGAAGACCCCGCCTGAAACGAAATAATACGAGAAAAAGTCGTTCCGTCGAAATCATTCGCGACGAGCGAAGAAATGGATTACACGTTTCTAAAATTAGATCGTAATCGCGCTCCAGCGCGTTCTAAGCAGAAAAAATAGTACTAATGCCGCAGGATTTTCGGTAATACCGGCCCGAGTCGCTCCGTTATCGCGTTATCGTATCCGTCCGCTGATAACGTGTAATCGTTGGCTCCTCTCGAAGATGATACCTGATATTTGTCGTCAGGCTTAACAAACGAATGTTTTTATTGATCCTTCGGGAACGCGGTGGAACAGTTGTCGCGGATAGAGTTGCTCCTCTCAGCGATTACCCGAGTCATTGCAGCGAAGGACGCTACATTGTGCAATTGCTAAAGTTTTCCTTCGCCGGAAAAACGTAAAGTTTATTACGACGTTACGTGAATGCGACCTGTTACACGGTTTTTAATTACATTCCCCTTGTTCGAGACTCTGATATTATTTACAGGCGGCATTAAGTCGCGGCGAGGAAGATTGTCACATATTTCAATCAAAATGGCGACTATTAAGCTTCGTCTCGACTCCGTGCGCTTTGATATTTACTCAGACACGAAACTAGCTTAACGTTAGAACTGCGGTCAGACGGGTTTTCATTTTCTTATTTAGCAATTATGAAGATTCTCATAGTATTCGGTATCCGAAAGAATTAATAGTTTCGTTCAATTAACTTTATATCAATTCCCAAAGATCTTTTTATTTTATAACCTGTTACTCGACTAGTTACGGTAACGAAAAGTGCAGGTACGGTTAGCGTTAAATGCTGTAACGAACGTCGGAAAGAATCGAAGAAATATTTACAGTAATATGTTTATGTTTAATTCGGTACATATATTTGCGGCGAACCGGAATATTCGGCCATGTCACCTTCAAACAATCGCGATGTCGAGAAATCCTCTTAGATAAGGGAGAGAAAATAAAGATACCGGGCAGATATATGTAAATATCTCCGAACTGCTCCAGCTCTGCCAAATGTTTACCTGTTTAAGCAGTTGCTCGTAACAGGAGAAAATGTCAACTGAGTAAATAGAGCTGGAGACTACCCATCTCGCCTACCGAAAAAACGAGAAAGCGATTCTTTTTCTTTTCTCGGCTGATTCGTCTGTTCATTTCGGTTTATCTGGAAATTAGTTAGTACCCGTTAATTGCGGCTGACACGCTCGCAGTTGTTCGTTTAATAATCATAATTTACTGGCCGTCCGCCGCCGCTTCCTGTATACCTTACGGGTCGACTTTCGTCTACGAAAACTTTCTCGAATTATCCATTCGGCGCAGATGTTTGTCCGACAATTTCACGATTATCAAATCGAACGGCCAGTTGACTCCACTTGTCCGCCAAAGGAGTCAATATTGCCTAGAATCATGAGGGAAATCGTTAGTGTTCCTTCAACGGCATCTACTATCAGATAACTGTTATCGGTGAAATGAATTATTCAAACTTATCTTTTATTGATACAGGTATCAATCTACACGGAATTCGACCCTCTGTATCGAAATCTTAACAGTACCCGTAATCTAGTATTAGGTGTGTTGTAATCGAAGATTACCCCTTGGAAACTGAACGTTTCCTGTTTCTCAACAGTCAGACCCTTGCAATTGATAAATAATGATTCTAATCGTCGCTGTGTTAAAACGATTTACAGTTACTCGAGTAATAAAATAATATCAAAGTCCCAAGACAAAATGTTATCACATTTTATTAGCTGGTAAAACGGTGAATTATTTATCTATTTTTCTGCGTGGCAACACTTTTGCGACCGGCTGCATTTCAAGGATTTCACGTTTGCCTGTAATAATAAGTAACAAACTATTTTTCTTTACGCTATATTTATTTTACTCTTATGCTCTATACGAATGATTACCTCGTCGAGTTTGAATAGAACATGGCGCCACTTCCGGCAGGAGGATTTTATATCGGTCCAAGGATTATTTGAAAATTTCGCTCCAGATGCATAGATAGGGCAGTCGTTTCCGATGATTAAATCCCGATCCAAAGTTCATTGTATTTTGCAGGCTCGAGTGCTGGGAAGAAAAGAATAAGAAGAGAAAGAAAGAGGAAGTGTTAACGACTCGTGGCACGAGCTAACGCACGGAGGTTATGTTTGCCGCGCAATCAGGTGCCGGCGCTAAAGAGGAAGAGGCCGCTCGCACCTTCTCGATAACAAGCGAAGTTGCTACGCTCCGCCACGGCGACAATTTCTACCTTTCAGTGTTCCCTTTCGTGTAACCGACCCCCCTCGGTTAACGCTTCGGGCTATATACATATATATATATATATAAAGATATTGACAAAGTGTGTCCTCCGTCAAAAGTTCCTCGTGTCAATGCCAATAATGGCGCGAAACTGTATGGTCCCATTTAAATTCGATCCACATGCCAGTCTATTTATTTATTTATTTGTATATTTAATTAAGTCGTGCAATATGAAATCCAAAGTTTCTCAAATGACTCGTCGAACAATCGACCTGGAGAATATTAGAATAAAATATTTGAATTTAACGTACTTCTTCAGAAGTTCGATATTACACGACTCAATGTAAGTGCACAAATATTTGTATTCAATTGTTTGGATACTGGTCAATTATTTGATTAGATTGAACGTTTGAATTACCATGTTTGTTTAGTATATTGTTCATGAGATGCAACTACCGTGGACAAGGACAAAAGGTGGACAGCAAATTTTGGCGCAATACCGGATGCAAATAGTTGTTAATTGAGTTTTTTTCAAGAGACACAAGGCGACTGAAGGCAAGCACTATGAAGAGAGCTATCCATCGACAGTATGGTGATAATAGACACTGTCATGGAGTTGCTCTCTTTGTGGATGCCGCCAGATTCAACGTTTTCCACGCCTTTCTTCGATGTCAAATTTCATTTTCAGCGTTTACTTCCGTTGAGTCTTAAAGTATAATGATTCACGCAACAACGGTCGATTTTTGTTGCAGTTGACATTTGTTTGAAACCGCCATGTTATTTACAATAAAATATCTAAATACCTTCCTTTCTCCTTTGCTTGAATTTTCTTTCCTTCGTGTGCGCAGTTAAATAAATAATTGATAAAAATGGACATAATTTCAAATTCTTAGTAAAAACGGTCAGCGATTGTTAATTGGTTACGTTTGTAGCGAAGACTCGGTGGGTCAAATTAACGTTCCACGTGTGATACGCATTCGAAAATGAAAAATTTCTAAAACATTTGTTATTTAATGCATAAGCTTGATCGTATATTTACTACAACAGAGGATAGAGTTGTAATGTAGAACAACGCTGCAAGCGTATCGAAAATATGAATAAAGCATCATAAATAATTTTATTTAAGTGGTACGATAAGCTCGTATGTATGCAAGGATGTTTTTCTAACGACACAATATGTATTCGTTTCTTACGTCACACTTCGTAGCTTTGATAAGCAAAAAAGATAAGGAAAGTTTACATCATTTTATTGTTCTCAAATATAGTTAATTTCGGAATGTTACACTCATAAAGTTAACACTTACTGTAAAAGCTGATGATGACAAAGCAACATTATTGTGTACCATATAATTTAATTTCAGTAAAAATGTAAAATAATATTTCTTATTGTTTCTTATATTTAAAAATGACTACAATAATAATCTAGATTTGGCACTGCAGCCTTAGTAACAAGTTAAATTTATGTTACAATTGTCACCAATATGAAAAAGAACTAATCGTGTTTTCAATTTGTTCGCAAACATGATTTACAATGAAATAGTTTGATTTTCACCAATTTCGATTGAAAATATGAGAAAATATTACATATCCGACTCATTTATGCATATAAAATTGTTATAATCATTGAAAAGATATCGTCTAGGAAATTTTTGCGTTGTAATCATTGTATGTCCGCAATGGATTTCCCTGGACTGAGTGAAGTTGGCACAAAATGGATGCTGCTTGCAAATACATCAGTTTTAACTAAACATCGACTTACAAAATGGGAAATCAATTAGTCGGTATTGCGCCTAGTCAAATATTTCCAGTAGAACATTATCTGACAGACCATAGTGATTTATTATTCGATGTAAAGTAAGTACATTTATTCTACGTTGAACAAACGAAACATTGGTTTTTTTGCACCAACCTATGTTCTGTCAAAATTTCTCCTAGCATACTAAATGAAAAACAAAACCATTAAACAACATTCTTTATGTTTAAAAAAGATCATATTATACCTTGCATTGAACACTTTCAAATAATCAGACACGAACGATAAATTTTACAAGTTACGTTCGTTCGATCTATTGATCATAAATATTTATACAAATTTGTAATTCGTAGACTCAATTGTTGAATACAGGAATTTAAATAGAGTTGACATTATGCATTGAAACTTCCATTACTTTTCAATTAAAGAGAAAGTATTTAGTTTCACACATGTTTTACACATTCACATATGTTTAATTATATGAAAGCTATAGTCTATTGATTTGTTACATATTTTCTATGTTTCATAATTATTTTTTAAATGTTTGTAGCTTAGGAAGTACCAGATTTTTTAAAGTGGCTCGGGCTAGAAGCCAGGAAGGACTTATAGTAGTAAAAGTGTTTGTTATACATGATCCGACATTACCATTATCCGTTTATAAAGATAAACTTGAAGAAATTAGATCTAAATTAGCATCTGCTGTAAATTGCCTACCCTTTCAAAGAATGATCGTGAGTGTTTTCAGTTATTATATAATCTGTATATCGTATGTGTTTATTCAAATTAAAATAATTCTGTACTTGTATTAGCTCACAGAAAAATCAGGATCAATAATGAGGGAATATGTAAAATATTCTCTTTACGATAGAATTAGTACGAGACCATTTTTAACAAGTATTGAGAAAAAGTGGATTACTTTTCAAGTTTTGTACGCATTACACCAAGCTCATAAGGTGAGACATCATTTAAATTACCAAGAATGATACTATTGAAGTTATTTATAAATATCTTCTGTTTTGTTTTAGTTTAAATTACCTTATAGTTAAGCAGTATTGTTATATTACATTATATAAAGTATATTATATCATAGAGTTTCAGTTATCTAGAAAATTAATTCTTAGTTGTTAAAAGGACACATTAAAATGCTTTTCACAGCATCAGACAATGAATATATCTACAGTCCTGTAGTTCTGAAAAATCACACGATATGCTCCACTGACTCAGTTTCACGTAGGAAAAAATTAAAACATCACTTCTCATTTGACTGTAGTTTGGAGTCTGCCACGGTGACATAAAACTAGAAAATATTATGATTACCAGTTGGAATTGGATTCTGCTGACAGATTTTGCAAGTTTTAAACCTACTTACTTGCCTGAAGATAATCCTGCTGATTTTTCATATTTTTTTGATACATCTAGAAGAAGGTATATTTAATATTGTCATTATCGAATTATCACGAAATACATTGATTTTATTTAAAAATTTCAGAACATGTTACATTGCTCCTGAACGGTTTGTGAAAACATTATCTTCAGAATTAAGCAATACATTATTATTATCTGAACAAGAGTTAAAAACAGGTGATTTACAGCCAATGATGGATATTTTTTCTGCAGGCTGTGCTTTAGCAGAATTGTATAATGAAGGACATCCCCCCTTTGACTTTTCTCAATTATTAGGTGCGTATTTAATGCATAAAGATTGTCCAACTTATACGTACAATAATATCGTGAGAAAATATTGAAAGATTGTTTTGTTATAACATATTAAGCGTATAGGAACAATGAGTATTCCGTGAGCAAGCATTTGGATGCGATAGAAGATTCAGGAATACGTGAATTGCTTGGATCTATGCTGGAGAGAAATCCGGCAAACAGGAAGAGCGCTGAAATTTATTTGGCTCAGGCTCGTGGCACGATATTCCCAGAATATTTTTATTCCTTTCTGCAGTCTTACATGCTTATTTTCTCCGCTGCTCCAATTTTATCGCCAGATGAGAAGATAAATAGACTTAAGAAAGATATAGGAAACTTTATTAATATTTTAAAAGGAGAAGAAAATGAAAGGAAAACAAGTAATATAAAAGCTACAGAGACCATTAGAAGTAATCAGTTTGATAATAACATAGAATCAACTAAATACGATTCTACCCACAGTGAAGAGAATACCATTATAGATGGTGATAGTGATCAAAGTTTCGATAAAAGCGAATTGAATCAGGTCGACGCGAAAACAGTTTCAATGCAAGAGAATAAATTAAAGAATCAGGCGAATCAGCAGGCAGAAATTAAAGGGTATGAAGGACGGAAACAGAAAGTAGATGTAGAAAGTGAGAAGAAGCCTTTTTCGACTCCAGATCCTTTGGAAGGATTAGTTATCATAACTCAGTTGGTCACCTCTTGCATACGAGGTTTACATCATTCTCAATCCAAACTGCAAAGTTTAGAAATACTCCTCGAATTAGCAGAGAATACGTCAGATGAAACAATACTCGACCGAATATTGCCATATATTGTAAGTAACCGCACAGATACTTCAGAAAATTTAAGAAACATTAACATTATTTTTATACGGAATATCTTACAGTTTCATTTAGTTCATGATCCTGCCCCACGAGTAAGAGTATCAGCTATACATATATTAACAAAATGTTTACATCTAGTGAAATCGATCCCACCAACAGATGTGAACATTTTTCCGGAATATATTTTACCAGGTCTAGCGCATATCACGCAGGATGAAGCTGTTATCGTAAGAGCTGCCTATGCAGAAAATATTGCACATTTGGCACATATTGCGCTGCGTTACCTGGAGAATTCTCACTTATCTAACTTAGGTAATAAAGAAGGTCCAAAGCCAAGTTACGACAATGAGCTCCAGACATTGCATGAAATGGTAATCAACTGAATACTTTCATAATCGCCTTTACTTCTGCTGAATACTAAATCATCTGATATTATTAGGTACAACAATCTGTGTCCATGTTATTAACAGATCCTCAAAATTTGGTAAAACAAACGTTAATGGAGAGCGGAATAAATAAACTTTGCGTGTTTTTTGGCAAGCAGAAGGCGAATGATATATTACTTAGTCATGTTATTACTTTCTTAAATGATAAAGAAGACAAGGAATTAAGGGGTTCCTTTTTCGAGTGTATCGTGGGTGTAGCTGCTTACGTTGGATGGCACAGTAGCCCTATACTTATGCCTCTCCTTCAGCAAGGATTAGCCGACCCCGAGGAATTTGTAACGACTAAGGCTATCAATGCAATGGCAACGCTTACCGAATTAGGTCTTTTACATAAGTCAGCGCTTTATCAGCTGTTATACGAGACTATGGTCTTTCTAGTGAGTTACTGTTCAACAATACTAATGACAAACCCTTTAAGTGCTGTAGCCGTATATATGCTTTTCCTATCTTTTTAATCTCACACGTGACCTGGTCATAAATATTCAGCACTCAATGGGTTATGAAGTACTTACAATCAAATGTCTTTAACATAACATTACGCGTAGGTGCATCCAAATCTATGGATAAGGCATGCAACAGTTGGTTTCATATCCGCTGCAGCAAGGACGCTTAACTTAGTGGACGTTCAGTGTAAAGTGCAAACAATGATTCAACCGTACTTAAAACATCCTCTGATTCAGATAGAAAAAGAGATTTTACTGTTAGAAGCTTTGGTATCTCCTATACCAAGAATCGTGTACGACTCTGTCGTGAAATACAATGATATAGAAGAACTGTTCCAAGTTCTTGAACAAAGGCAGGCAGCTCGCGCGAAAGCGATAACCGGGATCGTGCCGCAATACAACGAAATGAGTAGTTCGTTGCGAAACGTAAGTTACAAGTTCCCTCGTCTGCGCTGCACCAAGATAGACGCGTTGCATAAATTTCAAAAGAAGTAAACAAGATACTTGCAGCTTTTCAGACGATTAAGTTCGGAATCCATGACCGAGACTGTTGAAGATCAGTTGATGATAATGAAACCGCATTTGATGAAAATTAATAAATACCGGAACTCGGTAGACGCGAAACAAAGTACAACAAAATCTATGGACGGAAAACTAGAGTTAAGTTCTATGAAAGACAGGATACGACACCACATTGTGATACTGTATCCCGACACGAAGGCGGATCTCGGTTTGCCGCCGTTTAAACGATTAGATCGCAGAACGTCGGACAGCGTTGGCACGTATGCGACGATGAACCAAGAATGGCGTACAATGTTTGCAGCTCAAGACAATGCTCAAGTAATTCAAGAAAACTAACCCGTTTGCATCCGTCACGTTTTATACGATATTAATCAATGTCTTTTTACATACATACATATTATAGCATACCGTGAAAATGTCAAATATGACTGGAAGTAGCGGGAGTCCTAGCCAAAGTTTGCACGGGGGAGATATACATTTATCTCCTCAACACAGCTTGTCCGATATGAACAGCATAAACGATCATTCCCTTCACGAACGTTCATATATTCAATGTATGTCTCTCTCTATCTCTCTCAGAATACTCTTTGACAGCGCAAAGAAATGTCACGAGAAATACAACTTTCTGTAATTCTTCAGACAGGTGTGCTCCTTGCAGATTAGAGGTGAGACAATTGACATACCGAAAGCAAGAACAACACGCTGCAGCGTTAAGGGCACAGCACTGGGCTGATAACATTGCATGGCAGACTGGTAATTGATGATCGTTACTTTCAGATATCGTGTTAATATTTAGAAGATATTTTTCTGACTCTCGACAGGTTCGAGATTATTGCCAAGTGGTTGGAGACCTCGAGGGGTTCCGGTTGCTCATCTTCATGAACACAGAGCAGCTGTAAATAGGCTAGTCTCTATACCGGATACTAGTTTATTCGCGAGTAGTTCTGCGGACGGATGCATTAAGATATGGGACGCTAGTAAAATGGAAGGTCGGAACATTGCTAATCGTTCTAGGTAAATGATCCTCTAAATCTCGATATCGTGTCCTTGACGTATGGTTCGTTAAACCTAAAGCGCACTTGAATTGCATCAGGCAAACCTACATGCACAGAGGTGGACCTTTGGTTGGCTTGGCGGTGTGCGATCAGGGACAATCATTAGCGAGTTCCGCCAGCCAATCAGGCACTGTGTTTGTTTTACGGATTGAACCGAATTCAAGCAAGACCAGTGTCATTGGAACTAGACAATTGGACCTTCAGGTAAACGATGTCTGCTAATCCCCTTCCTTATCGTTTCTAAATATAAAATTACATGCAAAATCACAACGCAGGAAGAAGGCTGTGCAGTCGACTTACAGTACTTAGATTCCGGATCGCAATCAGTTCTTGTATACGCTTCATTGTATGGGTCATTGGTGGGCTGGGACCTACGGTGCCCTGGCACGACATGGCGTTTAGAGAATGATCTGAAGGATGGCGTGATCACCTCGTTTTGCGTGAATAACTATCAACAGTGGCTAACACTTGGTACCAGTTCGGGCGTGCACACGTGTTGGGATTTGCGATTTCAGTTACCGATAACCAGTATCCATCATCCTACTGGTACATTCATACAATCCATCAAGCTTGGCGAAGCGATTGTCTAATTCATACTGTTATGATATTCCTAAAACTTTTTTTAGGCGCGAGAGTCAGGAAGGTGATCACACATCCAACAGAGCACTCGTGGATAATTTCAGCTGTACAAGGCAACAACGAGATCTCTATGTGGAACCTTGAAACTGACTTCCGACAAATGGTTCTGTGGGCGTCCAGCGCACCTCCGCTCAGTCATTCCCAAGGGGGTCATAGCGTGTACGCGATATATTCAGGGTGTATCGATCGTTCCGCCTTTCTGTTGGCTGGCGGTGCCGATATGAGATTACGTTTCTGGGACTTGAACTCCCCCAGCGAGTCGTACGTCGCGTTACCTGCAGCGAACGACGTCACCCCTCCAAGTTCGTTAGCGTACGAGTTAGTATTCAGTTTACGATCATGCCATTTCTTTTATTATATACATATTTTATGTACAATATATAATTTACCCATATACAAGTTTGTCACATGGCACAGATTACGTCATGGATAAAGCATTCCCGTTGCGTTTTCAGGCAACGTTTAATAGACGGAACGAACGTGGTACTGGAAGTTCTGGCTGGTGGCGGGCCCACGCCGTCATCCGTTGGAGGAAGCAGCGTCCGAACAAGAAACTCCGAGGAGGGCGGCCAGGGACCTGAAACACCACCGTCAGGGCATCACGACACGATTTCCGCCGTGGCAATGTCGAACACCTGTATCCTAACCGGGAGTACAGACGGTCTGATACAAGTCTGGAAATGATTGTTCTCTCTTCCTTTGTTTGCGGTGTTCCATCGTTGCACACAGTGTACAAATTTTTCTAACGTAGAAAACAAATCGACCAGACATCGAGATTTTGTACGAACATGCTGCTATAGTAATTCTGTGATTTTTTATTTGTATATAGTATGTAATATATTAATATATATAAATCGTATTTATTAAGACCATTGATAATCGTAACGATAGACACACCATGCATTTCTGGGAACGGAATATGTAACGTAACGTTTCGAAAAAGGTTAATTCAACGACACCGTAATCCTTCTGTAATTATAAATGATTTATTTTTCTACGTGAAACCGTGAAACCGACGAAAGAGCTTGATGTACTGTAACATACGATATATACACAATAAACAGTTTTTCGACATAGAGTTTAGCATGATAGCAACGACTAATCGCGAGACACGCTGGATAACAGACAAAATGAAACGTGAAAACTCTGTAACGATCAGTGTACAAAATGAAATGCGCCGTGTTAGAGTGGAAAAAGAAACGATATTGTTCATTTGGTATATTATTTATACTGGCTGGCGTATACTGACTGCGTACTTCTGTGTTAGTTTAATAGCTCACTTGTATACCGACTGAAATACTCATAACCAGTGGATATCTTCGTATTCCCTAATATTGTTACAATAAATTCATATTTTTAACGCACCTGTGCGATTACCGATCACTCCCAATATTATCCGTTCCGGTTGATCACCAGGGGCAAGCCGGCACAGCGGGATAAGGAACTTTGCCCGGGAACGCGTACGGGTCTGGATTTATCGTCCTGCAGATTTCCTTCCACCTGTGATTTCCTCTTTGCCCTCCTTGCCTCGGCACCCGGTAATCGTAACCCGATCGACCGAATAGAACGTCAAACCACGGGGCAGCGGTCGCGGCGACGATCAACATCAGAACCATCAACAGAATCTTCATCTTTGCTGGCTACGTTCGCTGCTACCTTAAAAACTTACGGACACCTAGAGAATAAGAAACCAAACGAAACTTTTATCAAATATCCTTATTTATCGATACAGAAACAATTCAAGTCGTGAATTCCGAAAGAAGTACACTTTTTAGAGTTATTCATAGTTTGTCAATGCTTGCAGCAGAAAACAGAATAGATGAACGAATTAAGGTGAACAGAAAAATTGATCTCGACTGCTGATGACTTGCGCTGTTTTGGAGTTCACGACGTTAATTGTATATTAGAGAATTCAACGATACCATGTCGTAATCATTGGATCAATGGAAATTCTTAGACTCGACGGCTTATCAATGTTACACGCGATGAAATAAAGTGTCGGTTTTAAAGTATTTTCCGATTAATTTCAATGAAGACAATACTGTTCGCCGGACGATCGTGTTGTTACTAAAAGCTTCCGTTCTCCGGAGTAATCCTTAGGTGCCCGGTGGTACTCGTATGTGCACATACGTATCAACGCACGGGTAGCCAAGCACAGAGCAAAACGTAACGAACTTTCATGCTAAAAGGCCCGATTACCAATTATTGCGACATGTATTTGGTGAACTCGAGTTCGCTGCTCCTCACTTTCAAACTTCACACTTCCCGAGCAAGCCCATTTGCGACACTTGCTTCCCTTCGGCTGGCGAACGCCACTTTGTACCCCGGTATCCGACCGACGCCGACGATTTCTTCCCCGCCGGATATTCGACCGGTGCTCCCTTTTGTTTTTATCTTTCTGCTCTTTTTCCTCGCCTTCTTCCACGGAAGTTCGAGCTGTACTCGCGGCAACGAGCACACTCTCGCAGTGGAGAGATGCTGGATGCTTACTGCTGTTTTATACACCAGGACTGCCCTACCGCTCAGAAAAAATTGCCCCGGTGGACGTTGTAAACACGTTTACCGCCGGCTGCCATTGTTTGCCACGGCCACGATTAACGCGTTCACTGCCATCAGAATTTTTAGCGTTTCCTATAATATTACTTGTTCTTTCGTCATGCAGGCAGATTCCATTAGAATTGATTATTCGTGATTTGCTAGGATAATTCTTCGTAATTAAATCAATCTTTTTATCGTCATTGCTTTCGAGCAATTTGGAAGCTCCGGCGATCGGTGACCCTGTGGACAACGCGTTGAATCCGTGGATTCACCACGAAATTCATTTGGCAACTGGTTTCTAGAACGATTCTTCTGTGAGTCGATTTTTGAATTGGTACTTCGATCGTTCGACTGAAAATTAATTGTCATTTTAAACCGACTCATTCATTTGGAAACAAAGAGACGATTAAAATTTGTTGAAGTTACAGCAATCTTCGAACCTGACCTCGGAGAATGCTCTTCACGGTGCACTCTGATCGGTTGCTGTTTAAGCTATTTATTTTATTCAAGATCTCTTCGAGATCCGTTGACAACGGTTGTAAACGGAGTCATTGCATAACGATTAACAGATTATTTTCGGACGAGCAAATTTGTGCCCGAATCCGCGTCGATGCATAACAATGGAGGAATATATACTCTCGCATTGAACTTGGGGAAGACCCTATCTGCTCATCTCCGGCGACTACAGCGAATTCTTATTCGCGAAGCGTACAACTGTTTTCGTATTCCGTGCAGCGGATTTTCTCTAAATAAAATACAATGATAATGCGTAGAATGACGACTTAATGACGGTTACTCATTTACCCGGCACGCCGATGCGCAGAACCTGCATTTCCGTTGTTCCCCGAACTGTCGCAGGATCCTTACGTAAATGTTCAGTTTCAAACGCATCATTTCGCAAAACATTTGCACGATTATGCGTGAAATGATTATTCTACGAAACGAACAGTAGAATCGAAGCAGTCCATTGAAGAAACGCGATTCAGTTTACAGTTCCGACGATAATCCAATTACGTATTGCCCCAGTTCGCAGCAGCATTTGTGTCAAGGTTCCCGGTACATCTAATCTTCGCACTATCTGTTGAATTTACACGAACAAATTCTTCCGAGAAAAGACTCCGATCGAGGGTTATCGCATTGTCCCGCGTCTCCCCATTTGCTCGTGTAAAAATCCTCATAACCGGTACGCCGAACCGGTAAATCCTTGGTCGTACAATTTTATCCTTCCAAATTGTCAATAAAGCAATGAAAATAGAGCACCGGCTACTTTCCCGTAATTAAGCATCGCGAATCATGTTTTTCGATCGGCATTTAGAATGCTCCTGGAAGTCGGCAACTTGGAACTCGTGGTTTTGCCGATTAAACGATGAAGGAGAAGTGTTCCCGAGGAAAGATAATATTACGCTCAAAGAACCCGCGAGTCCCGTAAGTTCGTGAAGTTCGTAGAACTTCGATCCGCTTAGGCTCCGCGCGGTTCCCGGCCGAACCGCGGGCCATTCTGCAAATAGCAGAGAGCCGGGTTACGCGCATTCGTTCTTATTAAGGTTCACCATGACTAAGCAGCGACTATTTCCTATTACCGTAATAGCCGGTTTCCAGGCTGTCGAACTATTAATAGCGTTCGCCAGAGAAAGTCCGTGATTTTCTCGCGGCCTAATGAGTCCGGTCCCCGCGTGCCGACGGACTCTCAAAATCGAGCTAGGGTTCACGCCGAGATAAACGCCGGGTCACGGTGAACCGGACTTAATTACGTCAACCGCGCTCCGATAACACGTTCTGACCGCGAACTTTGCCGGCAAACTCGTTTCTCCGGGCCGCCGGGGACCAACGGAATCCCGCGACCGGAAGTCTCTAACGCGACCAGATGAATCATCCAGTAGTAGTCGAGCGAGAAAAATGTGTCCCGCGCGGACATGTTCTTCTATTAGTATTCCCCGGGCGGCTCGCGCATGAAAACACATGAACAAGCAGCTTCTATTATAAGATGTTCAACCGAAGAACGGCATGCGTCGAGCGGTACCGCGTACAGACGCGTTCGTTTGTAGTAAATAAATCATTCTTAGCTACCGGCTGAAGCAATCGGAGGTAGACTGGGAATATTTATGGAGACGCGCGCTTTTAGGCGTTGATTTATTGGAAAGCCGCTGAAGCTGCAGGCGGATCTGCAGTCCCCGATAACAAAATCAGGGCCACCATGGTTTTTTACATTTCTTGCGGTAATCGTAATTGAAGGTCCAAACGGTAATTTAACACTAGGTTTACGGAGTGCGTCAATTTGACGCATACTGAATTTATAAACATTACTTGGTAAACGTTTATGTCGATTTTGGTTGATGCAGTCACAAGAATACGTATCGTAATAACCTAATTTCAAATCCCTAATTTCCAAGATCTAAATGGTCGAACATCAATTTTTCATAGTGTTAAGAATAACTTCGTCGTGGTGTTGAGAGCAAAAGTTCAGCAAGGAAATTAAGTCGGGGTTAACGAATATGAAACGACCAGATTGCTGGTTCATTGCTGATCCTCTCAAAGGTTCCATCAATGGTGGCCCTAGCTTTCTGAGGTACCGTAGTATAAATGCACCAAATTCGCAGTCTAATTTTAAGCAGTGACATCGATAAGTTACAATTGATCAATGAACGTCGTCTAGTTTCTTCCTTCCACTCTCATTAGGTGGCTCGATGCAAATAGATTTGGAACGACAGTTACGTTAATTTATTAATAGAAGAAACGGAAGCAATAAAAAAACCCTTGTCAAACGCGCGACGTTCATAGCGACTAATTCTTCGTATAATTCCTCGTGTCGCAAAAAAGTCTGCGCCGAGGTAACGTCCAAATGGACGAATAGAAAGGTAAACAGTTCGTGATCTATCACAACATGATTTTTCTAGGCGCAGTCCAATTGTATCATCAGCGTGATTCCGACATTCTGTTTGTTGGTCTTCGGCATGAAACGAAGGCGTAACGTATCACCCGCGAATGTGTACGGGGCCAGGCGTATTCTTCAAATTTATCGTCTAAATATTTTGAATACGGATTTCCCTGAAACCGCTCTTCAACGCCGGCTGCACCACGTGCGTCAGTTCCGTTTCGCCGGTGATTGAGCGTGCTTCTGCAATTCGGGTTTCTCGCGAGTCGCATCGGTCACCGAGTTCCCCGACCTCCGTTGCTCTGTCGTCGAAGGAACCGAGCATGGCGATACTCGAGTAACGCACGATTCTTGCATTCTAAAATAAAGAAAATTTTCGTATGTACAATTGGGAGATGGCTCGATGTCTAATGAAACTGCACAAGGGCGAGAGGTGTTTGTCCAGTTTATAGTTCCATAGCTTCGATCGGTTACGCGTAAACGCATCGACGAGCGAATCGGTGATCGAGGATATCGGGAATCAATAATACTAACAGAAAATTGAGTAACAAAGGATGAACGCTAATCGATCAGCCTAGCCATCGAGTGATCTTCTGACAGTACGCGCCCTTCCACGGTTGTAAACAACGCTTCTTTCGGTTTAGATATTATTAAGGATGTCTAACAACACCAATGCGGAGGACAAGGACAGTTTGCAGCTGAGAAACCGAGCGAGCCTCTCGTTGAAGATGCAACGGAGCTTCAAGAAAATGAAGAGGAGCATTCGGAAGATCACCGGTACGTCTACAACAAAGTTAAATCATTTTCTAAACACTATCGCGTTTGATGCTCGATTTGATAAATGATCGTCACCTTAACGTAATCTACTCTAATGCCATCGGTTCGCCGATACAGGGTGTTGCAAAACAGGTAGGACGACCGGATAGAAAGTGATCTTACGCGTAAAGCTGAGCCAAGTTTTTCGCATTTTGTCTAGCTTCTTTTGGTAATTGCAGATGACGTAATTCGCTGAAAAAGAAAATGAGAATACTATCCGTCTAATATAAGCTTGTACCGTGTCGAATTCGTACACTTAGATTTAATGATCCCCCAGGAATAAACGTTGACTTCGATACGTCATCGTTAATCTGCGAATTTTTATGCAGACACAACTTTTCGTGGACTAATCTCATTTTATTCGAGATAAATTTCAAAGGAAGCGGAAGAACCGATTAAACTCGAGAATACTCTAAAGATATCAAATCTATATAATTATCATACGCCTGATTTCCAAGGTCAGCTGCTGCAGGTGTGCTGCCTACATTGAAACACCCTGCATTACCTAAGAGCGCGAGTCCGGCTAAAAGAATTCATCCATCGCAGTGCTGGCACAGATAAAAATTATCGTACAAGACGATTTTCAATACTTTTAGAATCTTCGACGACTGTTCAACCTCACTGCGTTTTCGTAGAGAACATGCAAGACGACGAGAGGCAGCCGCCGTATATATTTCCGGAACGGCTCTCCTCTTTAACGTACCAAACGGGATTCACGAAGGACGAAATAAGGAAGCTGTATCGCACATTTAAACAGTATTGTCCGCGAGGAGCGGTGACCACGAACGACCTGAAACCGGCTTACGCGAAATTATTCCCGTTAGGGGACCCAGCCAAGTACACGCAGATAGTGTTCAACACCTTCGACAGAGACGGCGACGGTATTATCAGCTTCCAAGACCTCCTCGCCGAGGTAGCTCTGATCACGAACGGCGACCTGGATCAAAAGCTCTCCTGGATCTTCAGGTGATTGGAGAGAATAATCGCAACCGTTTGCGGGCCGGCCTGTGTGTGTTCTTACTTTCTAGTCTCGCCCTCCTCTCTCGTTAGGTTCTACGACTTAAACGGGGATGGTTACATCACGAGAAAGGAAATGCTGGTCATAATATCCGCGATTTACGAAATGCTACATAATGGGCACACCGTCCAGCGAATGGTCGACAGGCACGTAGACATGGTTTTCGAGAAATTGGATACCGATAAGGACGGAGTCATATCTCGAGAGGAATTTATGAGCAGCTGCAAAAATGTACGAGAAATTAGTGTGGTATCTGGCTTGGCTGATCGAGAAGTCAGAACACGTTTCGTTATAATTATTAGAAAGTATGTAATAAATAAACGTTGATATTTCTCTTTTATTTCAGGATTCCATGATCCAGAATCAGCTGACAATATTTAATCAGTTTTGGTGATGAAATGTTTTAATACCAAGCTTCCTAAAGTGTATCGTTCCTTGAAAAAAATGCGACCGTGGCGTCCCCCGACTTTATACTAGTTTCTTGTTCCTATAATAAAATAGTTATATAGAGTATAAGTCTCTCTTAAAGTAAAATAACGTTTAACATTATACGTAGAGTTACTAACGATCACACTTCAGAAAATATCTCTCCTATCAGAAAGATGTATGTAGACAGTTTTGTGTAAAACAGTTTTGTACTTTCAGAACAACCTCTTCTGTAGAATGTAAAGGACACATGCGAGGAAAAATGCAAATGCCAGAGCTAATAAAACTTTGTCTGTGACTTCCCTTCTACCATATTTCCCTAAAAGCTTTCCTGATTGAACTATCACTTGCTGTTGGCGTTCCAACTCATTTGTGGTACTAGACACCTTGTCCGATGAGATTACTGAAACATAGAAAAATTTGAGTTACATAAATCATATTTTGCTGGATTCAAACATAGTGTATAAATGAAATATATACTTAATGTGTCCAATGTGTCTGCACTTCTTTGTGTTGTCTCAGCCAAATGTCTAGATATACTTAGCAGTTTGTCAGAGAGCTGACTGGATGCGTTTGCCAAACTTCTTCTATCGTGTCTTTTGCGTACAGCTGCTTGATATTCTTCAGGCATTGATAATAGCTCTTCTTTGGAAAGTTTATCTATCACACACATGCTAACAATATTAGCCTTACGAAATGCAGTTAAGGAATTTTTAGACTGTTGCTTGTAGGTATTTATTTCTGCCTGCAAGTCTGTTTTCTTTTTCTCCACGAGTTCTGTATCTGCCAATGATTCTAACTTGGATATGGAGGAATGTAAAGATTCTAATTTCGCTCTGCCTTCTTTATTTAAATCCATGAGCAGCTCCAATGGACCAATACATTGTTGTATATCCTAAAACATAATATCAGTTAATAATAAAAAAGAAGACAAACTTAAGAAACTGTTATCTTTTCAATATTTTAAACTAGGTTAGAACTATTGTTATAGTAGAAAAATGTATTAAAATAAAATTCTTCTAGTATAAAACACTCATGAAATGTATGAGCAATAATTAACTAACTAAAATATATTTTATTTATAACTGTAAAAGTACAATTTTCTTGATACTGGAATTCGAGGTTACATTTAAAATTCTTATTCTTATACAAAGTTTTTGTTTTTAATAATAATTACTTGAATCAGAGCTGTAAGTTCAAGATGGTTTTTTACAATATCTTGACGTATTTGTTCCAATTCGTAATCCTCGGTATCCATGGATGCACGTGCTTTTTGACAGTTCGTTTATGTATCCTATAGTACCATAAGCAAAAACAGAACGTACTTATTTAATAATTAATGTTCAGCCTGCTGTAATTGCCATGTCATATATAAACTAAAAAGGCGGATCACTGAATAATAAGTAAGTTATTTGTAAAAATTTATATAGCATGTGTGAGAAAAGGATTTCATTGTTACTATATCATAGTTAAATAATTTAAGAATTTTAAATAAGCAAGGTTGCGTTACTGAACATAATTCGGTAAATACGAGGTAGTATAATTTATTAATGTACAATTCGAGTATTACATTGTTATCATAGAACTGGCAGAGTGTTTTCTGACAAGTACATTTTTTGTCATAAATATAATAACACAGAATAATAGACAATTCTATTCGCAAATTACAATCACTTTAAATAAAATTACGACAAAATGTTCACAACAAATAAATTAGGTACAGTCTATATTGAGATAATACTGTACAATCTGATATGACCATATCAACTGTTTTTGATAATTTATGGATAGTACAATGTGTCTATTCTATTGTATTCTATGTTACATAAGTCTCTTCAATGTTAGCAGAAATTATATAACAATAATTATTTAACGAAGACAATTTATTACAGCGGTTGTGAACTCCGTTGTAGAGCTTTGTCCGCCTAAATCCTTCGTCAATACTTTTCCGTCGTTCAAGACACGATTTAATGCATCCTTAAGTTGTTCACTATAACGTTTTAAGTTAACATGGCGCAAAAGTTTTACTGCGCACAGAATCATAGCAGTAGGATTTGCAACATTTTTACCAACAGCCTCTGAATATGTGTGCCTTGCACCCTAAATTGCAAATTAATTTTTAATACATTTCACATACATTCACAGTACATTACTTCATTTTTATACATTAAATACGTTAATCTTACCGGTTCAAAGACAACACATTCAGGACTGTAACTGGCACCTGCAACTACACCAGCACCACCAACCAGGCCAGATGCAAGATTGTCTACAATATTACCATATAAATTTGGTAATACCATTACATCAAACTGATGAGGATTGGATACCATTTGCATGGTACAGTTATCGACAATCATGGTTTCAAATGTAATTCTGCAATAAAACGGTATAATTATTGTCTATCAGTAACAAACAGACTGTTAATCTTATACACTTGTCATGTTGTAAATCAAACTCAAATTTATACCTAGGATACAATTTAGCTATTTCTTGGCATGATTTTAAGAAAAGACCATCACCAAGTTTCATGATGTTAGCCTTATGAACACAAGTAACCTTCTTACGGTTGTGCTTTAAGGCATAGTCAAATGCAAATTTTGCAATCCTTTGACTTTTAGTTGCAGTTACTATTTTTAAGCATTCTACCACACCCTTCACAGATTCGTGTTCCAATGCAGAATATTCTCCTTCTGTTTGTTCTCTGATGATAATGCAATCCACATTCTTATGACGGCATTTAACACCAGGTAAAGATTTTACATGTACCACATTTGAATACAAATCCAGACTTTTACGTAATTTCATATTTAATGTTTGTAGCTCTCCAGTCATGGAATGGTCCGGTGTTGCTAAAATTCCCTATTAGAAATAAATTAATATTTGTTACTGGTGTATAATATCATGTATATTTGATATTTCTGTTTGAATATACAAGTACCTTCAAGCATACTCGATTTCTTGCAATACTGTTGGACACCTGTTCAAGAGGTGCACTTAAAGTTGGATTTACTTCTGAGAGAAAATATGGCTCGAATTCAACCGGCACATTCGCTGCTTTGAAAACACTCTGAACTGAAACTACTAATTCTGGTCCAACACCATCTCCTGGTATAAGAGTACATTTTATTTTTCCTTCTTGTTCAATTGCCTAAAACAAAAATTATTTATTCAAATAATCAATATGTACATTCTATGACGTGGAATTATAAATTATTTGTTACAATATAAATCTTTAATACAAGGATTTAATACCTACAGTGTCTTGTTGACGTACTGCTCCTACATGTAGTGCCCTTACAGCTCCTTTCTGAGCAGTCTGCGAATAAAAATATTTCAATTAATGTCATTCTGCATATACTTGTCAAATACATAATTGAATTGTTCATACTGCATTAAAAAGCTATATTTATAATGATTGAATAACAATCTCTGAAGCCGTTCGTTATATCGATTCTATTCATGAAATTTCAACGATCTGCGTACCAAATCTCGTTACTTTGGACAAATAGAATGTCAATTTATTTGATCAAACTTTTTTTACCGTTAAACGAATACATTTTCACGTATCTTTAAGAAAAAAGTAATTTCATATGCAATGTCCTTGTGATAATCATTGGCGCTTTCTTCGATTTCGTATATCATCCAATTGAACGAATTGCTGCATAGAACTTGACGATATTTTGATCTGGTGGAATACAGGAGGTTCGAACAATTGTATAAGCCATCAAAATTTCTTATTGCAACCGAATTAACGTTACCTGTGAAAATATTTTGTAGACGTTTCTCGCTAGTAAAGCCATTTTTCCACGACGGACTCTAGTGTCGTTCTTATTCTCTCTCTTACGGGCCAGTAGCGTATCAAATTTGGATACAATTAGGACGATTAATATCGATTTCAATCTTTTTATAATTCCATTCTCCTCGTGTTACACAAGTAACAGAACAAAACAGAGATTTATATGATCCATTCTAATCAATATTTTATTGTAAATGTCATCAAATATTACCGAATAATATTAATATGATTTTATATGTACGGTCCTGGCATCGTTGATCGTTTAGTTCGTAATCTTCCGGCGCATGGCGCTAAACGTGTGTCGATGACGTATTTGCTACAAAACTCAGTGATCACTACTGTTAGTAGTTTTAAATAATTACTCTAAGTTATTTATATCTTTAGAATATTATTCTACCATCGTTTTCTTTTTGCCTGTCTAAAAATTATCATTCAAACAGTAGACTCTTGATTCGATTATTCTATTGGTAAAGATTTTTAAAAAGTTGTTTAATGTTTCGCGCGCATAAAAGGTGTGTCAAGATGAATTCCAAGTTAGACTTTGAAACTGTAAATGGGAAGAAGTGTTTTTAAGGTAAAAGATATACGAATTTTATTCCAATAGTTTACTTTATTTTTAAAATAAATTATGTATCAAGAAAAAATACTGTTTAATTAATGTCATTACGTCCTCTTAGTAAGGACTTCTCGTAGGGACTGTTGTAATTTAAGAATATCTTTACATACATTGTCAAGTATGAAATTTATTCATTTATGTTTATTTGCCATTAAAAAACCGATTCTACAACTTTCAAAAGAACTGTGCATATAACTTTTAAATATGTCCGATATTTCCCGCCTTCGTATTCACACCTGTAAATCAGCTGTTTTTGAATCTCATGTGGCCTAACTGTCAAATGTCTTAATCTACTTCAAACTACTCTAAACAATTTAAAAGGCAGCACGGAGACTGTATTTTCGGTTTCATAAAGCTTCTTTTAAGAAACTATTCTTCATAAACGTTCAAAATTCTAGTGGATTTTATTATGTTAAGTTTACTGACGTGGTCTTGCATAGAAATAGAAACAAGCGTAAAGGGAGCAGAGATAAGTCATATAATCTATTTTTATAAAATAGTGTTTGTCATAAACAGTCTTTCCCGAATTTGTAATAAATTTTTAATAAATATATTTGCTAGAATTATTTCACTTATTTAAGTAGAAATGACAGAACAATTGCGTGAGTAACACCATGACATATTATAAACATTCACGCATTACACGTGCATTTTTAATACGGAGTATTCGCGTACGAAAAAATTCGATCGTGAAGTGTACCATTCAAAATTTTTATAAAATATTAATAAAATATTAATTACGTGGAAGGTGACTCTATTATCTTTATGTACATTTTGCAGCACCTGAAGTAACTAAACACAGTTTTCGTCAACGTATATGGGATTATTTGACGAAAAATGAATTAGTAAACTTTCCTCTCAATGTATACGATCGTATACCAAATTTCAAAGGTGCCAATGAAGCAGCCCTACGGTTAGCAGAGCTGGAAGAGTTTAAGAAGGCTAGAGTTATAAAGATAAATCCAGATAAGCCACAAGAGCCTGTGAGATTCTTAGCACTGGAGGCTAACAAAGAAATATTGGTACCAATTCCAAGATTAAGATCAGGTCTGTTTCTTCATGTTACACCAGTGGCCGGCTTGTCAAAGAATGAGTTGAGAACATTGTCAAAAATTCATGGTCTAATGGAAACTGGCAAACCACTTGGAGTGGACTCTAATATAAAGGTACATATTTATTATTGTTGTTGTACTGCAGTTATACATATTCATTTTCATTCTTTCGTATAATATTTGTGTTGTCCTTTAGGTGGACCTAGTAGTTCTGGGATCTGTGTGTGTCAGTCGAGATGGGTACAGATTGGGTAAAGGCAAAGGATTTGCAGATTTAGAGTTCGCCATGATGATGAGAATGGGTGCAGTCACCCAAGATACCACGGTTATCACAACTGTGCACGATTGCCAAATTGTTGATAGTCTTCCACCAACATTGTTTAAAGAATACGATGTACCTGTAGACATAATTGTTACACCAACCCAAACGATAATAGTAAACCCAAGATTACAGAAACCAACTGGCATAATATGGCACATGCTTACAGAGAGGAGACTGAAAACTATGCAGGTACTGCAACAGCTGAAAGAGATGGATGAAAAGTATGCATTGAAATATTGAATTTGTACCAACTACACTGATCTACGTGAATAACATGTTCAACTATTGCTTTCCAGAGATGGCAAAGTAATAACCCTGAAGGAGGAGGATGATTCTGAGTATGTGAGATATAAGAGACCATTTAGAACAAAGAGAAATACTTTTCCTGGTAACGATGGTTGCGAGGAAGAAGAGAAAGAGAAACCTGTAAGAACACGGTTTCCAAGGAGACGTGGATTTCGTGAAGTGAAAACGGAGGGCGACACTAATGTATCCTCCAACGAGGTAGAGGTTAATATATAAAGTGGAATTCCATTTATTTAAATTTTAATGAAGCGAGCACATTTATGAGGTACAATCTTGTATGTAGTAGAGTGATCGCATGGTCTTAATTTGCTTTCAGGAGAAGCTGCAAAACGGTGTTAAAAATGCGCAATCGCGCCAGAGAAATCCGAGGCCAAAGTCCAAATCGCAAATAGAATTCTCTTTAAAGCTGTCGAATATATCATCCAGCGCAAGAATACGCGATTTAAAAAACGCTTTGCTAGAGCGCGGAGTTAAGCCAAATGAAATCATTTGGCAGGGCTGTCGCGGGATTTGTTATCTTCACTTTAATAAGCTGAAGAAGAAAAGTGATTCACCGGAGCAACCAATACAGGTCGACTCGATAATGGGAAACTTGCGAGAACTCCGTATCGGTGAGTCCACTGGCAACGAGACCGATTTCATAATAGTAGAACCTGCCAAACCAATCTCGAGAATTGAAGTCACCGATGTGTCTTCTGTTTGAGAGACAGTACTTTCTGGGAACAATTATTTCAAATAATACATAGAGTGTTCCAAATTTTAACGGTTAACGTGTGACAACAGCCAAAAATAAGACAGATATTTATACATGTACGCAACTCCGTGAACTCTGTGATAACAAATGTTATCATAAGTACGGGGTGTTTGAAGCTGGAAATGGTAATGGGTTTGACTTCTAAGGAACACACCTGTATAGTTTTCATAAGGACCCATACTACTCTATATATTGTTTATATAATTGTAAAACTTTTGTCGCGACCCGACAATTATTTTTTATAGCGTTTCTAACGAAGAGTGTTATAATTTTCACGAATCGGTAGCCATTTATAACATTTTCAAAATACGCAGAGCTTTACGAGCAATTCGAGACGCAAGTATACGTAAATATTAAGCGCAAGGTAATCTTCATTATTGTACATAATTAATTTGTTAAGGCATTTAACTTATAAGGATAACGGTAGTCTATCCAGAGAAAGACTAACAAGCTTTACGTTTCTATGTATGTGAATTATCGCGAGTTTAGTTAAACGAAATCAAACGTATATTTTTTATTTATGCTCGATTAACGTGTCCATGACAATATTATAGTTTCTAATCGTTTCAATAATAATTACTGTGATTACCTAAGGAATATTTAACATTAAGGATAGTGGGTTTGAATGATTTCTTGCGTGGCCTGTTACCGAAAGCCAAAGGGCCAACATGCATATCCATGTAGCATTCGATAACGCTTATCTGACCCTACAGACTGATGATGATAGATTAATTAATCGTTAAACAAGACTTCCCCTGTGAAAAAGTGTGCATCTGAGTATTGATATCGTTGCGACCAATGAGTATTTGAACGTCTGTCATCGTTAGAATACACACAGATTAATCTGAATCGAATCGATTATTCTGACAAGGATTGATCAACGTATGAGCCATCAAGGATATCTTAAGCATTCGTTTCCACGATTTACCGATTGATCCAATAACGTACAAATCATTTCCATCGTAGCCATGTTAATCTCGCTGATTCAATACTTTTTGCCGGGGATAGTGATCGAGGGCATTCGAGAATGAAACAAACATCGGGTACATTATTTTTCTCGGAGAATATTTTCCCAGAGGGTAGATAGAAATATGAAATTCATTCTATTTTCATGCTGACATAGTCTTACCTATAGTGAACATTACAGTGTTGAGAGACGACGATGAGAAAGAATGTAACGCACGAATGAATCTTGCCGCTCGGCCCGTACACCGGGCGCGCTACGAGTGGCAAGAATCACGCGGTGCACAATTGTAGTTTGTGTGCTAGTATGATAAGAAGCAATATTTTTGTGATATTAACAAACACGATCTATCGTTCTCAGAGATCATAGATAATCATTACCATTGTTGGTTTTTGTTATTGCCGCAGCTATTGTCGATAATAGGCAGGAAAGGTACTCTGTATCCGCTGGTCGAGTCTTTGATACAGGAGGTCCATTTTTTGTGAACTTATTTTCGAGTAAGAAATAAATGAACATTTTTATGGCTGAACGAGCAGCGTAGTTCTTACCTGAACGCAAACGAAACCTCGAAGCTTCTTCCTTCGTCCTTCGACATCCAATTTCTCGAGGCTTTCAATTAGAAATCTAATTGCTCACCGCATGGAATCCATCGACGTTTCCTTCATAATTCCTAAGAAACAGCTGAAAAACTACTCCTCTATTTGTATCGTCGTCAGATCTTCCGATTAGTCCTTGTTTCCGTTTTCAATTGTTTTGGAATCGATATTTCTAACGCGTTAACATTTCTCTGTCTTCCTTCTTCCTTTAGACATAACTTTAGCAACGATCACTCGCAACATCCTCCTTTGCATCCTATTTAATTAAACATGCCCCGTAGAATTTCGAAAGATACTTGATTCCCTCCATCTCTGTAATACTGGCATTCAAGGAGCTTGTTAATTAATATCAGAAATTTTTCTCCGTAACAGGAACATTAAAACGTTAAGATCGTCGATTCGCCGAGAACTTTCCAAGTTTTATAGGGGATGAATCGATCGTAAAGAGGTGATTCTCGCCGCCTCTGAACGGCAAATTGCATTAATCTTGATCGAATTTCATGGACGCGGGTTCCCGGGAAGCTGGAGGGAAATGAAAATGCCTGCCTCCTCGACGCCTTGAATATCATTAATGTCCGCGAAAGTAGGCGTGTTTCGTTCTCTAAATTAAATGAACGAGCGCGCCGCGGGCAATGGAATTATACGACCGTCCATAAAATTATTCGAACGTTCGAGCCGGTCACGGAAAATCAGGGCTACTTAGGATACCGATACGTCGAGTTTACTATTTTCAAATGATATTACAACTTTGTATTTACAATAGAACAATAGAGAACTATTAATTATTATTCTACAAAGTTTCTATGATATTTTATTGGGATATTGAAAACAGACGGAACGTCGATATCATTCGAATAATTACGGACGACAGTCTCGTTCGTTATCGTTCGCGGTAAACAGAAAGATAAAAAACTGATTTATTAGTTGTCACAGGACATTCGGCTCGCGAGTCTTTCCAATTACTTTCCCGCTCTCCATGTCGCGTGCTGTCTGCGTCCCGATATGTCGTATCGATTCCCGACGTTTTTCTTCCTTCTCCCTTCGCAATTTACAGGGTTCCATATTTATCGGCCACCGCCGCCTCTTGTCAATATTTCATCGTTAGCTTTTTTTCTCCTTGCTGGTGTTCGCCTCGGCGTGCAACCTTTCTGAATAGAAATTAATTTGTAGTCGGTCGAGTGTCCTGGGAAGACCGAAGACGGGTTTTACGGGAACATATAAGTACATTTGTTTTAAGGATCTCTCGGGTAAAAGAGTCTTTTTCGTCTCGAAGAATTAATGAATTTTTATGAAATTTAGGAACGTTAGAAAGATGGGCTATTTTCAATATCCAAAGAGTAGTGGAAATAACTTGAATATCCGTATGAAAATTTATAAACTGTTCAATGCGCTTTATCGTTAATAATTTAGTAGAAGAAGAAAAGAAGTTGATACTTGTTCCGTGTCTACGTTCACAGATTAAAGATTGATAATACATTGGAAATAAATGAATAACTTAGATTCGCCGAATTCGGTTGAGAATGTTCATTAATGCGAATCAGTAGAACGCATGCCAAGCGATCGAAATGTAATTTTTCAGGATTCGTTCGTGATAAACGGACCGTTGGGATTATGTACATACACAAGTATGTAAGTATGTACGCAACGTATAGCCTGTAGCACCACTGTTGTCTGATCCTCGGTCTCCTTTTTGCAAAACGGCGCCGGTGTTATCGATTATTCGCCGCTTGTACGACGAGCACGGGGCTTTACGTCCAATCTTCGTTAACGAACCCTTGGATACCGTAAATATCAGTTTCACGCGTAGAGTCCGCCAATAGCGACGCTCTCTTTATTAGCGAGTACTGCGAATAGATCTTTGATGTCGTTGAACAGTGTAAAGTAATTAAATTCGCTTGTTTATCCGTGATTTTCCTCACCCCTGAACCGATAAGCTGGATAAAAAAAATGGAGATTGGTTGGGAACAGGTATAGACATCGGTAAAATCATTCAAATATCTCGAATTGCCTTGTTACAACGTTCTTATCTATATTCTTGTGTGGTGATTTATGAAATTACATCACTTGTTGGTGTTTCTTTAATGATTACCGAGGGTGCAATCGATGATGCGATGCAATCTCTGCTGTTCGAGAGTATTATCGTTTACCGACAATATGGCGCTCTAGATTCTGATATTCAGATATTTTTACAGTGAGAATTCTATTTGAAATTCAATAGTTTCTCATGAGATCGATGATGCAAATGTTTCGATGTAACGAGGCTGGAGAATGGAAGCCAATAGTTCCGAAGTAGGGAGGAGCAAGCGACAATATGGCGGCTGAACGGATGCGATTAAACTGAAAACAAAGTTCGCGCGGTTCGAAGTACAAATTGAACGTGCATCCGTCGTTGAACTTGCATAATTCAACCATTCAAAACGCTCTTCTACCTGCTCTGGATTGTACTTCCATTATTCCACTAGAATAATCCAAGTACCGAAGTTTCGCTTAAGCGAACTTCCAGTGTCTGCGAAACTTACAGGTTTTTACTTACAGTTTCTAAAGAAAATTGAACTAAACATCCGCAATCTCCTAACAATAGTCTCGTTTAATTATGTAGATTCAGAACAGTTAAAAATGAAAATTGCCAAAACTAACGAATATGTGTTTTGGTTTATTTTCAATTTAACAAATCCCTCGATCGATGAAAGGAATTGCTTTCCGATGTTATTTCTCGTTCACTGGTCCGCGGAAACAGGACGACGCGACACGGCAACGTTTCGAGCGATAAAAAAATTTGGTGCTCCATCCCGTGGATCAACGTGTTTCCCTATCAGCGCGGATAATGGAAATCCTACCGCAGATATGGGGCAAGGCTGCGAGTCGAAAAGCGACGAGCCACGCGGCAACGTGATCGAACGATCTCGCCTGTCGGAAATAGCGTCGCATAGTTGCTCGCAATAGACCTAAATCTAACTTCTATAGATCTTAATTCCTATAGGATATTTAGGTTTCGACGATTCGTTACTGCTTTAATTAAAGAACAAAGGAAAAAAAGGAATACATGGTAACGAACGATAAAGGAAGCCAATCGAAATCTAGATAAATGCAATCTTCGAGTTCCTACAGAAAAATTACAAAAAAATCACTTGGGTTGCTTTAGATTTGTTCTAGTTCCAGTGTTAAACAAATACCGTAGAAAAGAAGTGTCCAGAAAAGTTCCATCCAACTCCGGAAAAAAGAAAGAAGACATATGAAAACCGTAGAGTTTATTAAACTTTTTATTGTACTGAATTCTTAAATAATCGGGTGCGTTACAGTTGCATAAATATTCGCAGGTCCACTCACCGCTGGACCGTCGATGTTCACGCGGATTCACGGTGTTATTCGAGAGACCACGTGTCGAGGGGAATCCCATAAGGGTTTCGCATCGTGGTCGGGATAAAGCGAGCGCCCCGAAACTTCGTCAAAGGTTTGATCCATTATGCCAGGCAGGGGCGTGCCAAAGGTATTTGCAGCCGGGTGCAAAGTTTTATTGGCTTCCTCTTAACACTAGAACTACCGGGCCAGTCGAGACGACCGGTTTCGGTTTCTCTCGCGATTATTGATATCTTAAAAGCATTCAATATTTCAAATGATCTTGAAAATAGTTTTTTCATCTATAATGAATGTCTGAAGAAACTGAAAGTAATCTATTGTTACAATTATTATATGGATTGCATATTAACCGTATTAAATGCGCGACAGTTCTAGTGTTAAGTAGTTGAGAAACATTGCGATATTTCAATAACATTGCGCTGCAAGGCAATACGCAGTCCCACTCTCCACACTATTAACGATGATACTGCGCTGCATAATTCAAATTAGTATTAATATAATTCAAATGAATATTCGTCATTAAGTCACCCCTTGCAACCTCGGCTTGCCGCGGCTCCGACGCCAGGGTTTCCAACGAATGCGCATCAAATCCGCGGTCCAGCTATGAGCGAACGGCGCGGAAAGTTCGGAGTTTGCTTTTTCGTACGGGCCGTGCGGTTCCCGGGATTTTTCCAGGAGAGAAACGAGACTGGACGGGAAACCGCTGCTTCGACCCCTTCTAGCTTCTCGTATCTGATAAAGTGCTCTCTAAAAAGGGCTCTCTATTTGGTCGGGTTTGCTCTCTTTCCTTCTCGTTTCTTTTCTTCCGTTTGTTTCTTTCTTTTTTTTTCGTTCGTTCCTTATATAAAAATAAACAATAGACTTTTCGTCGAGATGTACACGTATACGGGTGAGGAGGTAAGATAGCGATACAGTTTGTCGTCTATTTCAGCGCGGGTCTCGTCGCAATTTCAACTGCAACGTCGCGAGGGACGAGGGGAACATGACTGTCCTTGCGATACACTTGACCTTAATATAATGCAACAACTGTTCTCGATAGTTTTATTACGTTATTTGACAATGAGTGCGCGGGCTGGATCTCGGGGTTAGACTGCGTGATTAATTGCATTAGCTCCTCGCGCTGGAGAGGCGACTCTCCGTCGCCATTTGTTTCGTCGCGTACGAGCTCGTAAATTTGATGTTCGACGCCCAACTTTGTGTAACGGACTAATCTAGTGTTCTGTAATTTACGTTCCCGTGTGCATCGGTTGTACATCATCGATGTTTCTTTGGGAAACGATAAATATTTCTGAAAAGATTTTCGAGGGCAAAGGGTTCACAGAGGATTCATCCCGTTTCCGTCTCGGTTCGAATTAAATGAATCCATCGAATGTTTCACTGATACTTTAAGAGCGTTTAGGGATATTCGAAAGCGCAGTCTGCTCGTGGTCAATCTAACCCTCGCTCGTTTCGTTGTTACTGGATCAATCAACGTCGTTTCTTCGTCGGGGTAAGAGGTAACTTCCTACTGAGAGGGAATCCTAGAATAAAATGCAGATTACACGAGTTCGCAGGGATACCAAATGAAAATCCTCGTTGACGTAACGCTTCCACTTATACAATAATAAACGAACGAATGACAGTGCGAAAGACGCGAAAGAACAGAAGATCCTTGACGAATAGACTACGCCTTTTCAAAGTACAAGTATCACATTGGCCCGTAACGATCACGGAGCCGAAGTATTCGTCGATATGATAGCAAAATGGGTAATACCATAAACAATGGTAACAGTTTTCGCTAGTAATCCTTTTCTTCATTTGCCTGACTCTGCTGCCTAACGATTTCCATCTATTTTTCTCCAAAAGTATTTCCGAAACGAGTACGCCGACTAGATTAGCTAGAAAAAGTCCAAACATAACCGTGACAAACAAATGAAAATTCTGTTACGTCGAAGATGAGCCATCAAAGCGGCAGCTTCGAGAATGGAGCGTAGACCAAGTCAGTTTGAGAACCTCTGAAGTAGGGCTTTCGCGGACAATGCCACTGTTTCGGTAACTCTGCGAGTCACATAGTAGGGGGCATACAAGAGTGGGGGGACCAGTGGCGTACGAGCCGGCGCCAGCAGCCCTATTCCGGCGCGCGAGTGCTGGAACAGCCTGAAATTCCGAGGACAATGCATTCTACGCGAGGAGAGGACGTCGAGAGACGTCCGGCGTACCACTGGAAATTTACGACGTCGAGGGCTCTGGGCTGGCGTCGATGTAGTCGATGTCGGAGGACGTGGCGGTGCTCGCGCGCCTACCTTGCCTCGGCGACGAGCTTATCCGTGTCTTGACGTTCGCCGTCGAGACGGTCAGCCGGTTTCCGGTCCGCTGCGGCGGCTGCTGCTTCGTTCTGCAACCGAAGCGTGATGATTAGCTGCAGTTGACGTGTTTGTGAAATGCCTGTGCGAATACGAGTACCTAAGATACGAGACGTGTTTATAAGCTTTCGAGAATGCTTTATTTCAATCTTTTCAGATTAAGGGAAGAAATTATGGAGGTTGTATTTGAGCTAAATTATATAGCATTGGATAAATAGACGAAAAGGATACGTGGTATATTGCTGTTTGTAATGGTAGATCGTGAATATGGATTATTCGCGATTAATTGGGACTATAGGACGAGTGATTTCTTTCATTCAATTTTCCGTTAGATTTAACGTTTCTTGAATCTCCTTGTTTCTCTAAATACCGTCAACAGTTTCCATTGAAATAATCCTCGCATATTCAATAATTCCCAAGACATTCGCCAGAGAAGATCAAAACGAGTCTATCAAGCTCCGATAGCTCATTACTCATTCAAGGCTCCTAATGACTTCTCGATCTTTTATTCAGCTCCACCCACGCACGCGGCAAGCGTTCTGTTATTTATGGACAGCGGTGCGCGAATGAAGGCTGATTGGAAGAACGTACGTAGGATTTTAATTCGCCAAACTTCCGGTTTTCTTGCGAACATCCAGTCATCGCGAATCTATCCAACGAACGCGTAAGTCGACGAACAGTTCCCTCGACAATTAGGTCAGAAACGCGTGTACAAGCGAAACGAAACGAAATTCCGCGAAAAAGCGGAGCACGCTTGATTCCCTTTAACGAAAGCGACACTGTAAATCGCCACTTTAAACGGACGGTTAATAGGATCAGTCGAGCGTAGTCATAATAGACGCAAGAATGTGGACTGTAGATCAGAGCCGTTAGATAAGCGGGCCGAGCAGCAAGAACAACGCCGGCTGACGGATAATTTAACGCGTTTAACGGAGTTCCACTCACTTCAGTCTCTGTTCGGCACCCAACATGGCAGTGTTCAGTTCCTCTTCCCACTGTTTCTCCTTCCTCTCCCTTTCCTGCCTCTCCATCTCGCGTTCCCGGTTGTACACGCGGTATTCCGGGATGAATGCTAATCTCCTGAGATCCACGCTCGGCCCGGCGCCTTCGGCCAGTCCGAGCCCGTCCTCCGGGGGATGCTCGACTTTCAGGGATCTGCGTGAACAACGGAAAATACTCTATCCCCATTCGCTAGAACCGAGCCCCGGATACACGCGGATAACTAGAAGCTCTCTGCCCCTTCTGCTCTGTATCCCTCGGCCCTCGATAATATCGGGAGCATCCTCTCGCATTCTGTTTGCTCCCGACATTAGGGTATCGATCTTACTTTTCTCGTGAAACCTTTTTAGACCGTTTATCGTGGAATCGAATGAATCACGCGGAATTTTCGACTGTTTGTTTATCCTCGAATCATAGTATTGCGGCGAGGAGTCTGATGGAGAACTTTTTAACCAGTTAAGTGTGGAACTTCGTTTGAAAAATCTCTCATTGTGCGATAATTAAAATATATCCTAACGAAAAACTAAAGCGAAACGAAGAAGAATTACATGCTTGTCTCAAAAAATAAATAGTCCGTCTTTGAAGAAGTTAGCACCATTAAGAGTTTTAAGATGACGTGTATACTCGTCAAACACAGTTAACTGGTTAACGTGGATATTGAACAACGGAAATATCATTTGAAGGGCAATGTTCTTCAGTCGTTTCTTTACTGGGAAATTACTGGAGTTTCTGTTCATCGTTTAATTCCCATGTTAGAATAAGAAGATTCTGTACAAAGAATTTCCTAGGTTTCCCTTACCTCTGCTTCGCCAGACGCTTCTTCTTCTTGTGCAAAGGCTTCGTCTCGATGATCATCTCCTCGAGCTCGAACGTCGGGTCGCAATTGAGATGATCCTTCGGCGGCGTGAACGCCGGCTTGATTTGCTTGTTCAATACTTTGTCGAAGTCGAGGTCTCTCATTATGCTCACTTGCTTCAGCTCTTTCAACGTCGACACTCGCGCCCCGGGCGCCACGGTTAATAATCGGTCGAGGAGGTCGCGTATCTGCGAGCTCCATCCGGCCGGCGTCGGCCTATCCTCCTGCGAAATCATCCCTTCAACCCTTAGCCTACCGCAATTAGTTCTTTCCTCTCGGTTCGAGCCAATTTTGACGTGACCTTGTTCGTTCGATCAATGGACAGTGGATAGTTGTGCGAATATTTTTATGAATATAGATTGCTATCTACTAGCTGTTGATACTAACAATTGAGGGTTCTACGAGACGAGAAGCTCATTAATATTTATCAAGTTCTTGAGTCGTTGAAATTACGACATATTCATTTCATCTCTTTATCGTAGAAAAAGGAGTTGAAATGTGAAATGTTAAAATGTTAAAATGCAGTAAATAGAAATTTATACAAATACTATGAATATCAACGAAAATACACGGATAGTAATATGAGTATATAATTAAAACGTTTCATTGAAGAACTTGGATTAGATCTCGGTGGAATATGGGAACACTTTAATAAGATAGAGACGCCGATAGCTGATAGAATTTCACGTTCTCATTGAAGTAAGTAGATAGACGAAGGACAGTGAACTATCTCACGGTTGTAAGATGTTTCTGGTGCGCGGAGCATTGCTCAGACCGTGGGGAAAGTATGATTTAAAAGCCGAGCGGAGATCTCGACGCAGCTGGATGGTAATGTAAAAGGATTTTAGCGGCGGTCTTACCTGCAGGATTCGTAGAGCTTCTCTGTGAGAAGTAGTGGAGTGAAGAGGATAAGGCCGATCCCCGGCAAGAGTCTCCCAGGCAAGAATACCCAGGCTCCACCAATCCACGGCGAAACCGTACCCGAGAACACCGAACTCCTCGCAAGAACACATGTAAATTTCCGGCGCTGCGTCCGAGAGAGATCAAATTGGTTCGAAATCTTTCGCTTGAATATATCACAGAAATAACGTGAGTACTGTGGACTTTAACCCTTTGTGGACGAAGGTTCTTTGGAATATACGGAACTAAATTTGAAATATACGAAGCTAAGTTATACATGAGATGCTTGAACGATAGAAAAAAAGGAAACTATGTGCCGATCTCTTGCTGTTCAAGTAATTAAATCATTTGTTCGTGAGTTATATAGGTTTGTGGAACATGATTGAGTAATCTTACATGAAATTGTATGCGTATGATGTCAACGTAGGGTAATAATGATGTCACTTTAGTGTCAGGATAAATAGAAATGGTCTACGGTAATCATATTTCACGGCCGAGCGATTGCAGATACCACAGTGACGCGGGCGTCTAATTAATTCGTTACCTATGTACGGTTTTGTTCCTGACATCGACGTCGCCAGTTCACCGTACTCCAGCACCGTCGCGATATTGAAGTCCGTTACGTGCGCGTGTCCTGCACAGAACACAATCCTGGTTACATAAATTGCGCAATGGATTCTTTTCTATTTAAAGAGTGCTCCGACAAGAACGACAGATCTCATCGAACCGCCGTAAAACGTGTTTTACGTTACTACGCGGATATAGTTTAATCAATTATTAACACTAATATTTCGATATTGATTAATATTTCAACATTTACTAGTATCTATTGATATTCACATTAAAATAATCATTTTACCTCTGCTTCATAAACTCAGTCACCCACAACAGAAGAAACGTTTTCCTACAATGTTTATTTACAAACAATTCCACGAACACTCTCGCCTCGTTCAAAACGACCTCCCATTCTGTCAGTAAACCATATTAAATCCTACTCTTTGTGAAACCGTTTCGCTTCGCGAGAGTTCACCGCGGGTTACCGCTGGCATTCGCGAAAGTTTCGAACACGCACGGCTGACGATTTGCGAACAAGAGTCATGAAAAAAAACCGTTGCTCCCATTGAAACAGCCTTCGTCGAGTTTTGTCGAGCGCGCGGCGAAACAACGGCCATTTTGTCGGCGCCGCGACGGCGAGCAGTTCGGAGCCGGCCGATTGTCAGCTGGCCGTCGCCGCCGGTCACAACATCTGTCAACTGTTGTTAACGAAGCGTCGAGATGTCATCTGCGAGGCTTCGATGATGTCCCGAGGACACCCGATATCCCATTATCCTTTTCGGTGGCAGCCCTCGAATAGAATTTTAATACGACACTGGTGTTCTATTTCCACCGCGGAACGGTGTAATGTTGCAGCGGGAGGACACGGGGCGCTGTTGCAGCGAATAAAGGGGCAATCGCTAATAATTCCAGGAAAGTTTCGTCGGTTCACCGAGTTCCCTTCGAACAAAGTAGGCAGGTGCCTAGCCACGAAAGACGAGAATAGAAAATGGAATTATATTCTATGCTGACGGTTGAATGTTCAATCGAATAATTATTTATTCGGTGCTCTGGCTATAGTTGCCTCTATAGAAGTCGTTACCGAGGATTCTTTAATACCAGTGTAACTTCTTTCGTAATCGCTTTCATTAATTTTTACCGATTGGAGAACCATAGAAAGTTTTTATGCAGGTCAGCTTTCAATTATACAAGATCATAGTAATTCGTAACGATACATATTCTGTTCTCTAAAGTTAGTTACTTCTAGACTCTAGACTGTCAAAATCTACAGGAAACTTGAATATATAATATATCTACGAATGACAGTTCGCAAATTGCATGACAACCTCATCGTATTAAAGAAGACCTTCCTATATCATAATTAGTTTCCCAATTACCTTCTAAGAACCGTTTCCACGAACATCCACGTTCTTCTTACTAATTTCCCATTGTCGAGAAAGTACAAAAATTGAAGAGGTTGCAGTAATTAACCCAGAGGGTCCTGTAGAATTTTTTACAAGCCGAGTTCGCGTCGAGAGGGTTGAAAGACCGAGTGCCTCGCGGTTGAGGAAAATTCGCCCGATGGCCTGGACGTGGTTGAACAACGTTGCTCGTTCGAGTGACGCCGGGCCCCGTAATTTTAAATGATGCAGAAGCAATCCCGCGGTTTAAACAGCTGTCGGCTAAGTGCGCCGAGAAAATAGGGTTGCACGCTCCTCGGGGAAGCTCTTGGCGCGGCGCATTCAACCCTTTCATTTCTCGTCTCGCATCCGCGACGATTTAGCGTGCAGCTCACCTGGGAATACCGCGCGAAGCACGCGACATTCGGGACGACGAAACAGCAATGAAATAAAGGACGACGCGGAGCAGAAGTACATGCGATTTTATCGCGGGCTCTGACTCGTGTTCTGCCGGCGTAATTGTTACACTTATGCCTCCGCGGAACTGTGACGGTTCTAATGATACAGGGAACGGAGTCAGTTCCAAAGACGTTGAAATATGCGCGTGCAGAATGTTGCAAGTTTTTTAGGAAGTGACAGATGAAAAGATATCGAATAGCTCAATTTAATGCGTATAGAATATTCGATAGCGGTTTGCAAGATTCAGAACTCCGGGAATGATTAACGAATCTTTTCATCTTTAATCAAAGCTGAAACTTTTAACGCGATTACTTTATTATTTATCCGATCTCCAGCTTCACGATCGCCTGTACTCCTACAGATCTTGAAACGGAGTTTCTCTGGTCCCAGCGAAAGAAGCGACTACCAGTTTACAATTTTAATGAAGATTGCAATGGAGACATTTGGAATTTCCTAGACGGATTCGAAGGGAATAATCTTTTTTATTTATACAGAATACTCTTTACAGAATCCGACACGAACGTCACTTTCTTTCTCGTCCACCTTACAATTCGATTATCTTACAAAATGCAAATACCCTGGAAAACCGACAGCGGAATAGGAAGCTCGGAACGACAGAGGAAAACCTGCGTACGCGGAGACGCGTGTTTAATTCAACGCGAAGTAAGTAGTGTCACGGCTGCAGAGAATTGCACGAAATCTCACGCGCGCGGCCATAAACTCTCGAGGCAGTCAGGAACGCTGAATTTTTCATTCGGAAAATTTCTTTCCCCGCGCAGAGTCGTTTCGAAAATGAATCTTCCCGGCGATCCGCTGAAAGGTTTCGCCGGCGCGCGGCAGCTTTTCAAGAACTTCCCGTGCGGAATCACTTTTTCAGAAATTCAGCTTGCCACGCTTATGATCGAGGGGACGAGATCGAATCGGATGGAAGGGCTGCTTCTTTGTAAGGCTCCGTGTTCCCATCGAACCAGAAACCAAAAGAGATAACCGTATTCCTTCTTCTCGACGAGTCGCATGTATTCTCTGTGCACGGTCTCGAGCACACTTCGAGGGCTTTGCAGGAAGACCTAGATTTCGAGAATGAGCTGTCTCCAGTCAGCGACTCAAAATATTGTGGAATATGGAAAAGATCCTGTTTCTATTCTATCGAAATCTGGGTGTTATTCGAGAAGAATTTGGAATGATTGTTACTAGACAAACTTACCCTAAAGTACTTGGTTCGCAGAAATAATTTTTATAGGATAAAAGGTCAAATGTGAGTGTATTAGGATAGTAAAGAAAGTTAGAATTAATATAATTACTAATATTAAGATTTCATCTAAAACTGATTAGAAGTTTCCAATCGTTCACGAAATATGGTAGGAACTTTCAGCATTCTATCCTATCATTGGTGCAATAGATAATTTCGTTCATTCTTGTAATACGCGAATATAATCAATTTCCCAATGGTCATGTCAGTAATTTTGACTGATCGCGTCGTGCCACGTGGAGCACGAGTGTTTTCCTGAAAACGGCGATTAAAGATTGACGTGTCGTTACGTTATTCGCGGGAATGACTGATGCATCTTTGATGCGCCGATACGTCATCCACCGGCGAAAGGGATAAGGGGTTGATACATGAATAAACCAGATGGAATTGTCATACGGCGCGGCGTGAAAGCGCGAGGCAGGTCGATTGAAAATCATAAAATTATTTATACGCTGTGTCAGTCGACTGGTAGCCACCGTGTGGAAAGAGAGAGGAAAATTACCGGATCCGCGGTTTGCTACGTCACCGGAATATAATGCGGCCCTCCATTGTGGCCGTTCTTCGACCTTTAACGAACCAACGCGAACGGTTCTCCATTTGTTCCATACGTTCGTCTCTGAATCTTTCATGAACAGTACCTTAGCTTTTGCGTCTCGCTTTCCTTCGGCGATACGTAGCTTACTGGAAAAGATTCGGGAAGCTGTCGTTCGGTTGTTCGTCAGTTTCGTAAAGCTTTGGGTTTTTAACATTGGAAAATGCTCACGCAACGCAATGGGTATTTCGGAAAGTGATGAACACTCGTTGAGAAAAGTATTCCTCGAGGGATTAAAGTTATTAGTGTAATATTTAATTATTATGGGTTATTACGAGATATGCAGTGTTACTTTGTGTTGTATCAAAATAATATTGGGGACGTTATTGATCATTATTAGTCAATATTGACTGATTCATGGGCATTCTGTAATATTGATTAATAATACTATCATTTCTTTACCTTTATTACTACTGACGAATGAATTAATCAACCGTCACTCGACGTCAGTTTCAATACTATCGTTCAGAGTAGCAGTCACACCTAACGAAAACGAACAGTTCTGGATACACAGCGAACATATTAAAAGGATCATCGATTAAATGTAATTGCTTGATCGAATTTAATGAAATTAGTCGAACGAAATTACTGTTGAACAATTTATTGCTGTAATTGAGAGGTCGGGAAAACGTGGGATACACGGACGTTTGAACGTGTATTTGGTTGCACGAGCTATCAACGTATATCGATACCGAGAGCTTTCATTATCCGAACACTTTTGCCTGCTCATTAATTCGGATACGGGAGGGTCAATTGAATTTTCGAATTTTCCACCCTTCAACCTGAAACGTATGCACCGTACTTTGAACCCATTGCCACTGATACTGTATAGTATATGCAATTTTCCAATGACCTGCAGTGATACACTAGTAGGATTAGCTTTAATAACGGTAATCCTGTTAAATCCCTCCCATTACGCTGCGAAATTAATCGCACTACATGTAATACACACATATAACTGTAAAATCTATTTATGTATTCGAGCAGGTAATAACAATAACAATTTGTAATTAGTTTAGGGGGTCTGTTATATTCTTTGGATCACGATGGCAAACAAGAAAAGAATTCTATTGGAGGTTTACCATGAATGTTCACAGGTTTATCCGAAAAATTCGATACCGATAATAAAAATATATTTCCTCTCGGTTCAAAGGACGAATAACATTTCTATTTACGAAATTTCGATTAAAATCTTCGTTTATTACGCTGTAAAGAGGAGTCAACAAATCTCTGGGTGTATTTTTCACCGGTCCAATGCATTAATTAACAACTCCGCGAAAATATCAGTTTATACAAACGTGCTAGCTGCAATCTACATAAAATAACAGTTTATAAACGCTCTGGTAACGAGCATTTCTCCCCGCAGTAAACAAATTAATTAATCCACTGGATAGAAATCC